CTAGTATAGCTAATTAATGAATTGAGGCATGGTGAGGGCAAGTTGCGAAGGTAATTTATCTATACTAATCCCATATAGACTTATTTAATTAGCTAATATTATATAGGATATGCTAAATAAATGGAAGATATTTTTCAAGTAACTATACTCTCAAAGGCTTTACTCCCGTAAACTTCTCCCTGACTATATTACTATGCTTTTTGTCTATTTACTTATTATACGGGAGTAAACTAAGGAGTTTGTCCGGGTTTGGAATATTTATTTAATTAGGAAATAGCCTAATTATCTATATATTATCCCTAGTTAACTATTCCAGAACTATATGTTTTTAGAGCAGATAGGGGTTAGGGACTACGGGATTCCTATTAATATTAATAAACTAAACGAGCTATATAAAGGATATGCTAGCTATAATAAAGACATATATTTACCAGAGGTTATACTTGAGTAGTATAAGCAAGAGCTTAAGAATGCCGGCTTTATATTCCTAATTATGGAGTTTATATGTGACTTAAATAGGGATCTGAATTACCTGAGTATATATATATATCTAAGGGAGTCAATTAGTAACTACCTAATTAATACGAAGAATACTTGTCTAAAGCTAGGGCTTTTATTAATACCTAAGGGTATATATAATTAGAATTCATTACCAGAGGTAGCTATGGGACTAGAAGAGGCAAGGCTAAAGAATTATAATAATTAAGATGGCATTTAGTTTATTAATAAAGGGAGAGACGCTAGCTATAGAGATAAAGATCTTACCTATATTAGCTCTGACGACGAAGCGAAGGTTAAAGATAATGCGGAGGATACTAGATTTACTATAGATAGTATTACTTTTAATAGGGCAAATAGTAATTAGGTTATAAATAGTCAAGAATATAGATAGTTTATGGATAATGGATATATATCTGAGCCTAAAGCAGAGGAAGAGAATAATCTAGAAATTCCTCCTGTAAATATTAGTCGGTTTACCCGGCCTTAGAAAGGCTAAATAGGGACATATTAATATATATCCTAAAGAAAGAACTAGCTAAAAATATTAATTTTTGGTAAAGCAATTAATTATAGAAGCTAATAGTAGTCTGCTTAATTAGTTAAATTCATATAGTTATAGGTAGTTTAATGTCAAAAGATTATATGATTCACCTTATTAGAAAATTAACCCTTGCCTCTTTATTTTCCATACCTCCTATAATTATTTTATTAACTTGTTATTTTAGTAGTAAGAAGTTTATAGTATAGATCAAATTCTCCGTTAATACTAGCTCTATTAAATTAATAGTTCTTGAGAACTTTTAAAGTAATTATAAGATATATTTGGTGAAAATATCTCTTTTTATATGGAATTTAGTTTCTCTCCCTTAATTTCTATAGCCCCTTACTTAATATTCTATAGCCCCTAGTATAAGAAACCATAGTTTATATAGGAATAATATTAGGGATAAATAAAATATGTCCGAATTTAACTTGTGCTAAGGGGTATTCCTTATAGTCCTTCTATTTACCTCTTTTTATATATTAGTAATACGCTACTATTAATAACCTCTAAAATAAGTCTCTAATATATAAATTCCCTAGGGAAAAAGTTATAGGGGTATGGGCTAAAGGGTTAAAATAATATTAATATATTATAGTTCTATCCTGCTACTTGACTTTATATTACTATTTACTAAACTATAGATTTATTAGCTATACCCTCCTTCTAATATTTAATTATAAATTAGATCCTTATTATATTATCCCTAAACGTTTTTAATAAATAATCTCAATCTATGGAACTCTTATTTTATACGGGAGGTACTATATCCCCCCTCTATAATAAAGTGTCTACTATGTGGTGCAATTAACCTAGCTACTTTTTCTCCTGCTCCTATTACTCCTATTTTAGCTATACCGACTATTATATTAGATAATATATCATTTTCTAGTCAAACTCAACTTTAGAATACTGCCGCCCAGCTATTAAGAGACCAAGGGGTTAATATCTTAGCTAATTCCTATTCTTTTTACTATTTCTCGGGTATGGATCTCTCAGAGGAGGTTCTTGAATCAGAAGTATATAAGAGGAGATAGCAGGCTAAGCTCGAGCGTTTAGAGCGATTACGTGATAATTTCTATTAGGAAGCTCAGGGCGAAAGTATATATCTATTTGTTTAACTCCTATATTAATACTAATTTTATTAGGTTTAGTCCTTAAAAGGGGTAAAGCCCTTGGTTCCCTTACTCTCGGCCAGGGGGCATGTGTAAGGGCTTTTAGTAAGAGTAAATCGCCGATTCCTCCTGCTCCTATTATCGAAAAACGATATAAGGTCCTTATTTCTATTATACTATGTATATATGAAATAGAAGAACTAGAGAGTAGCTTTACTGGGAGGAGTATACCTATTTTAATTACAAAGAAGTTCCTTAGCTTAGAAGAGTATTAGGAGGCTCAAAATATTCAAATTGAGCTATAGATAGTAGAATAGTTTAATACATATGTAAAGCTTATTTATAGAAATATATACCTCTTTGCTAATATAATACTTTATTATAGTCAAGAACTATTATATAAGGAGTTTGCTATATATTTAGCCAAGGCTTTTTTATTATTAATTCCGTTACTTGAAGACTAGGAGCTTAATTAATGGATTATGATCTTGGAATACGTAAATGGGGTATCTTTTACTACTAAAGTAAGCTATTATTTATTAGTATCCTAATATAATTAGTACTAATATAATTAGGTATGGCCAAAGGATAAAAACAAGAGGATCGACCATGTGACTAATCTGATATATGGAGCTGAAAATACTATTAATGGCTTATTATCCTATTTTAGCTAATTAAATAAGAGAATGCCAAAGCATATTTATCTTGTATTTGATTAAGATATTAATAAAATTCAGGCAAGAGACGACGAGATTCAGGATGAGCGTGAAAGAAGGGATGGAGAGATGCCTTACCTCCTAGATTTTAGCCCCCTATTAGGAGACTCTCCCGATATTACCCCTAACGTAGTATCTATATCTATAGTTATATCTATGGCATCTTCTTTACCTGCTTTGACTCCTAATTAATAGATCGAAGCTATATGGGAGAAGGTTGCTTCTTTAAAGAATTAGTTAGGTAATGACCTGAATTCTGACGATTTTAATTCAGACGATAATATGCCTATGCTAGAAGCTAGAATTACGGTTTCTCCTGCTCCTGTTCCTACTCCTGATCCTACTCCTGCTCCTGCTCCTGCTCCTGCTTCTATATCTAGTAAGTTAATAGATTTAAATATACTAGTAGATCTGACGTTTTTACTAGCGTTTGCTCCCGCTCCCGCTCTATCCACTCAACGTCCTCTGAAGTCTATATTAAAGAGGAAGCGGGAGGTGATTATATCAAGCGATGACGACGATAATTCAGATCTTGACGATAGAGAGAAGGAATTACCAGGGGATAGTGATTATAGGCCGGGGAATAGGTGTAGGGATAATCGGGGGCAGTTCAAAAAAGCGAGAACAGAGTAATACTACTGGATACATTTGACTATAATGCATGGGAGTTGCGTATTTGGCCATAATTAGGTGTGTTTTCCATATAAAATGTGGCCATTAAATAAATCGCGATTCATCATAATTTTGATTTTGCGAAAAAAATTATAGTTGCAGCATCGTCGCTAAATCAGCCCGTAGCTAGCTAGCTGTGGGCCTCAGTAAAAACGGCTGATTGCCGAGAAATTATCCAGGTGAGATTTTCTGTTCAAATTTGAGGATATATGAGACAGTCTTCAGATCTTTTGTTTTGGTTAAAACTGTGAGCAAATGCACCATTCGCAGATCTCTTACAGTCTCACTCAGACAATGACACTTATAGAAGTTTAAATTGGCTTTTTATATGCTGGCGAGTCTCCTCGAGTGTCGCTTCTGCGCCCTTACAAGTTCAATGTAAGGTCACTCTGAGAGACCAAAACTCAAACGATCTCGAGCACCTTGCCACCGCCGCAGCATGTGCTCTTCCGGAATCTGCCCATTCGCCTCACCAAACTCCCGCGTCTTGTCAACAACAAAATGGTGTACAAGCTCACAGCCCAAGAAGGCGGCATGTGCGAAATAGCAGTACAGCTGTGTCCCCTCAACGCAAAAAAAACTCGGTCAATTCTGCATCCAAACCGGCAACATTATGCCCTACCAACCGCTGTCCACCATCCAGCTCTTCCACCGGTACCCGGCGTCCGGGCGGGCCTACTGCGAGCCCGTCTTTTCTCGCATTGCTCGGGGCTTCGCGCCATTCCGTGCCGTCGTCAAGAAGCCATTTCTACCCCGCAACGACCGGATGACGAATGTCGGCTTTGACATTTTGGGCGGGCGGCTGAGGAACGCGCATAAAGCCGTCTGGAAAGAGATTAAAGAGATCACGCCTTTGAGAGCCCAAGAGGCGAACGTCTTTCCCTTCCTCCCGGTGACTTTTGTGGGGTGGAAGCGTGATGGGAAGCATTGGAAAACGAAGGAGAACGGACTGTTCTTGCTGCTTTGAAAAGACATTTGTTTCGTTGCATCGTTTGCGGAGTTGGTGGGCTTAGGGAATGCATTGGGCTGTCATCAAACTGTATGTTGGTATAATTGTAAGAATAGTCAAGACGGATGTGGACTTCGTTAAGAACAAAGGACATGCATAGACGGAACTGGAGTTCGCAACACTTCGTTGAGCGAGAACTAAATATTTGACTGAAGAGACTTATGAATGAAGTTGATTAGAAGAGCGACATGACTGCTTTTGCCATGGTCTTTTGACTTTTGAAGTTCTGCATTGAGTACCTAGTTGATTTTCTATAGATGCATCCAATCTTACAAAGTACAGCAAGGAAGTACGCCTTTTGTTTGGGATTTGTTTGGGAGAGAACATGCTGCTTGTCCGCCCATATCACATCCTCTATAATAACATCTTCCGTTCTTTCATTTCCCGCCAGGTCGTGGCCATAACTGCTCAACATGGGTTTCAGAAACTAGTCATTTAACTTCCCTTTACCTTCCATAACTTGCCCTCAGAGCCATAATCTGTGCCCTATCTCCGGGAGGCAACTGATCAATAACTTCTTGTGGCATGGCCATTACCTGCTGCATCAACGCATCCGCATCCGGCAAAGCCTGTTGTTGCTGCTGCTGTTGCTGTGGGGGAGGAGCTCTCTGTTGCGGTGGAGGTGGAGGATATAAGCCTTGACTCTGCGGCGGGGTTCCCATCGGCATACCCAACTGACCACTCATATGCTGAGGTGGAGGCGGGAATCCAGGCGGGTAGCTACCAGGTACTGGAGCTTGGTATTGCTGCTGCTGCTGCTGCTGTGGGGTCTGAATTGGTGGAGGTTGGGAGGCTGCTTCGACGACAGAACCAAGGGCTTCGGTTGAGACGAGACCCATGAGGAGGAGAGCTTGGAAGATTGCATAGGAGAGCTGGGGAGCTTGGTGTAGGAGTTCGGTGGCTTTGGCAGCGTCGGTTGTGGCGAGGGTTTTCATTTGGGAGAGGACGTCGAGGAGTTGTGCGGGTGGGAGAGTGTTGAGGGTTCGGGAGATTGCATCGGGGCAGGTCAAACCGGGTGGTAGGTCGACACCGAGGGGAAGAGGAGGGATCGAAGAGTTGGAGTTCATAGGAGGTGGGACGGGGACGCCGTTGGAAGGTATTGGAGGCGGTTGATATCCTGTTGAAGCGACCTGGCAGAGTGTTAGCCGGGAAAGCTATGAGCGATGGGTGCTGCTCACGGTATCATCCTCGCCTCCATCATTCGAGAAGTCAACGCGTAGCTTGCGGTTCATGATTTCATAGTCGTTGAGATTCCGTACTGCAGAGGAAGCAGAATCTATTGACGTGTGGAGAGGTTAGCTCTTGTAAATTTGCGCACGCGACAGCGAAAGGGAAGGCTGCGAACCTGAATCTGGAAATTCCACGAATCCGAAGCCCTTTGGCCGACCTGTCTCTCGATCATATACCAGTCGGAAGTTCAAGACCTTTCCTGCACTGCTGAATATCCGTATGATCTGCTCTTCTGTGAGGCCTAGATCCTGTAAGCTTCGGCGCAATCAGGATTCACCTTCGCACTTACCATAAGGAATATTTCCAACGAACACGGACTTGGAAGGCGGCTTCGACATCTTGGCGATGTCTTCTGAATTTTGGAGTGAGAGAAAGAAATGAAAGTTCACTGGGCACCTGCGACAGCAGGATCTTCGGGAATGTGAAGGTCGACGGATTCACTTGAGCACCGTTCAGCATGAGAAGAAATGGCACAGAAGTCTTAGGAAAAGTGTTTCTGGCTATTCTAGTCCTGTTTGCCTCTTTCTTAAAAGCCCAGCACAGCTCCACATGCGAATTTCTTCTTCTCGATGGGGGTGTTGTCGATGGTGTTGTCGTGGGAGGAAATGGTCAAGCAAGGCACGAGAGGTTTCAATTTGATATTGCGCCAAGAGAGAAAGCTGGAGAAGTTAGCGCGGCACTAGTCAACATTCGGCAATGACTTTTGTCGAGCCTGCAACAACATCAACAACTTCAACCGCGCATCAAAGGGACTCTCGATTGGCCTCTGACAAGATGTCAAACCCACAGGAAGCATGGCAGAAGCTGCAGAGGATGGCAATGCAGGGCGGGAGGGGCGGAGGACCATCTCCCAGAGGACTCGGCGGAGCTGTTGGAGGTCTTTTCGTTCTGGGAGGACTCGCTGTCGTGGCCAATAATTCGCTTTTCAATGTCGATGGTGGCCACAGAGCTATCAAGTATACGAGAATAGGTGGTGTGAGCAAGGAGATCTACTCGGAAGGTATGGAAGCTATTCCCGGCCGCCGCACAGCTTTCGATGGCGACTAACTCATTCTTCACAGGCACACATCTCAAGATTCCATGGTTCGAGACGCCAATAGACTATGATGTTCGAGCAAAGCCACGCAACGTTGCTTCCCTTACCGGTACAAAAGATTTGCAAATGGTCAACATCACCTGTCGTGTTCTCTCCAGACCCCGAATCGATGCCCTTCCACAAATATATCGAACGTTGGGAACGGATTACGATGAGAGAGTTCTGCCGTCGATTGTCAATGAGGTCTTGAAGAGTGTGGTTGCTCAGTTCAACGCTAGCCAGTTGATAACACAACGAGAGAATGTGGCAAGATTAGTCCGAGAGAATTTGTCGAAGCGTGCGGCGAGATTCAACATCATGCTTGATGATGTTTCTCTGACGGTATGTGAAGACCACTCTTCAGAAATCATCATGTACTAACCATACATTTTAGCACCTTGCATTCTCCCCCGAGTTCACGGCCGCTGTCGAAGCTAAGCAAGTCGCACAACAAGAAGCCCAAAGAGCCGCATTCGTTGTTGACAAAGCCCGTCAAGAGAAGCAAGCCATGGTCGTCCGAGCCCAGGGTGAAGCTAGATCTGCCGAGTTGATTGGAGACGCCATCAAGAAGAGTCGATCCTATGTTGATTTGAAGAGAATCGAGAATGCGAGAGCCATTGCCCAGATCTTGCAGGAGGCTGGCGGAAGGAACAAGCTGTATTTGGACTCGGAAGGTCTGGGACTGAATGTCACCGAGGGTTATGAGGACAAGACGAAAAAGTAATGGCATGGAATTGTAAAAGGAACTCTCCACTGTACGACAGATAACATTGTATTCTATCCCAAAAGAGGCTTCCATTGCCTTTGCTCCATAACATTCTCTCATGATATTTCACGTGGCTTCGTTCCTCGAGCAGACTTCTGTTCACCCATGCACTTGCCCCCATGCCAACGGCAAAAACAAAAAGGGGGGGAGGGGGATTTGATTTGATGATAAATATCGAGCAAAAGTGCTTGATTGAAAAGTGTCTACATGAGACAAGTGTCTGGGTTGGTCTGTGAAATCCCCGCGAAGGCTGCCTCGGCAAGGTCAATCAGCTTTCTTCAACCTCGTTTCGTCACCCAACTTCACGACACACATCAACATTCAGTACTTTAAAGCGTGACCTCTCTTACTTGTGTATTCGCCTCTTCTGTTGGAAGGCTAAATAGCAGGCCAAGAAATAGCCTCACCGAGATCCCGAAGCTAGGAGTTCCAGAGCCGGCCAAGAGCCAAGATTTCCATCGCCTACCAGGTAAAGCATCACGTCCCCGCCTCTCCAGAGTATCATTATGAACTGCTTCCTCTCAAATACGAGGCTTCAATAAGTTTATTGGGTCCCAAGAACTGGATACGAGGCGCCGAATAGTCTGATGGAAGCACAACATCAGTCTTTCCCGGCTGAAACCACACAACGCGTGCGTCCATCTTAGCCACTGAAGTCGGCGAAGAGAATCCTGATTCGCGGGGTCCCTGCTGGATATTTTACTTCCGTAGTTCACCTTAGTAATTAGTAATACGTACAGAGAGATTGTTTGCGCGACTGGATTCATGTTGATGCTCCTTGTCCCGAACCATAAGTCAGCAAAAATTCCGGGATCATTACTGGCATGGCTTCCTAGCGCGGAGGGGCTGAGTGCTTTCAATATCCTGCAGGGGAAGGATGCTCCGAGTAAGTTGTTAAGCTATCCGGATGAGAACTATTTGGTTTCAAAGCCGGAGAATTCGTTGGTGGAATAGACGGTCCTGGATTGGTTGAATGGGTATGTCGGGTTGCCGAGGTATTCACAACCTGAGGATGAGACTTTCAGAGAGATTTTGATGAATGGGCCATGGACTTACTGAGTAAGATGGATGTCTTTTCGGTACGCGGAAGAACACAGTATTCCTGCTGGCTTGTGGAAAAAGCCCCAATGGAAGAAACTCGGCGGGCCAGACCCCAGGTCTGTGGCTGCGCCATATAGACCGTAGCAAGGATGGCGACAGCGTTGATGAGATTTTGAAAGTGCCTTTGGAAAATGTGGATTAGGATGCCAGTCTCTCTTGGTTGTGGTTCATGAGCCTAGCTGATTATTTGTTTGTGTTGGTTTAATAGGAGTTGGTTTTAAGAAAGTTGTGAGAGCAGCGGTGGACATGGCCGGTTTCAATACTTAACTACTATAAGAACTGGCAGTTAAGTCCTATTTCATTATCGAAAACTCAGTATAGTACATTCGGAATAGATCATGTGATTTTGTCTCAAAATAGGACTACATAGTAGTGTCGGAAGGGACTTCCTTTCCAGGATTAATAACTGGCTCTAAAAGGACACTCAAGTTTAGCAACAGACCTAGAAGTCGAGCTTGGATGTTCCAGGAGATGAGGATAGCGCTGTATGGACGACTGCCTAGCTCTCGTCTGTGAACCGTTCGCTTCTAAGTGTAGCAAACGAACAATTAGCTCCCGGCATGGAAAGAAGTGCCGAATAATGCAGGTGATGAATCATGTTTTTGAAATGCCACTGCTCACCAAATCCGTTCCTGAGACCGGTATTGTACACGGCCAACTCTCGATACATATTTTCTACCCTGTCACGTGGTCTAAAATTGCGCACCGGGGCTGTGCATTGCTGCCTAGTCCCACGACAACAGCCTCGGAAAGAAACAACTAATCTTCTTAAATCTAAACGTCCTAGCTTTTACATCTCCACTTTGACCGCTAATGATATTAGCTAGGGGGCCCGAATGGAGGAGAGTACGACCCAAGATGCCCTCGGTCCACATTTATGTCCCCCGGACGCATTATATGGTTCGCTTCTAGTGTCGAACGATTTGAACAAAAGCTTGTCGGGATGGTTTGTCGGCGATTTGTTGACAGAGTAAGATTTTGCAAAGCCACAGAGAAAAGGAGGTTCCAAGCACTAATCCATATTATCAGTGGGCTTGGACAAGCTCGCCAAGCATTTAAAGACGCTGTGAATGAATTTAGAGTACACGTATCAGAAAGGGAGTGCGCGACATGGTTAGACAACTCAACCACAATCTATGATGTAGAAGAAGCTGTCAATCTCGCAAAGCAAAAATACGAAGGAAAATCGCCAAAGTCGCGAGCGAAGCGATGGCTTACCAGTTGTTCTTCTAGACTGATGTATTACTCGGTCATCATGGATACTCTGTCACAACACCACCCAGAATATGTCTCTTTGGCTTGGGGAGCAATGAAGTTCTTGTTCATCGTGTGTCAACCTACCTATCCACTGGTACCTAACTGTTAACATGTCGGCTAGGCCGTGATTAACCACGAAGAATTAATCACGGAGATATCAAAGACCGTTGCCAACATTGCAGATGTCCTACCTCGAGCCGACCTTTCCGCAAACTTATACCCAACACAGCGGATGAAAGTTGCAGTTGCCCGACTTTACGCTAAGATCCTCCAATTTGTGAGAGAGGCTATAAAGTGGTATAAGAAGGGAAAGCTTGCCCACTCTGTGTCGGCAATTTTGAAGCCATATGACCTCAGTTTCAAAACTGTTGTCGAAGATATCTCCAAGGCATCCAGACAGGTGGATGCAGAGGCTGCAGCAGCCTGTAGGGTCGAGATTCGAACACTTCATCTCAAAATCCAACATCTTACTCAGTTATCGACGGGTTAGTAAATGTTGATGGGCTCGTATTGGCTCAGAATATTGACAGAACAAATAGCGTATTTTACTAGTCAAGGTTTGGCATCCTCAAGTATGGCTGAAGAACTCGCCCAACAAGCTGGAATTTTCCGACAACGACAAATAATGCAGATCGCGGCCATACCAGTACTACGCCACATTCCAAACCCCGACGAATCTTTGGATTACTGTCGCTCAATCAAGCGCCGACGTAGGTCACATATTTTGCTTGACACAGCACAAATCACTAAGCTGCAGCACTGGCATCAAACCGCGGATGCTTTCCCCCTCCTCATCGCCCGCTGCATTGGACTTCGGACAGTAACCCGAGATTTCTCAGTGGAGTTACTCGACACCATCCGGGGGAGTAATGTGCCTGCAATCTGGGCATTATCACAACCCAATTGGGACGAGGAAGAACTACTGTCACTGGGGGGCCTTTTGCTCTCTTTATCGATGCAAGCTTTGGTTTTGAATCCCCAGGTTCTTTCCGCAAGCATCAATCCAATATCGAGCTACCATTTCGAAAATATATCCAATGAAGACCAGGGCTTTAAGCTGCTCCGCCGCTGCTTGAGTGGCGTGAAAAGAATGTACATTGTTCTTGACTTGACCTTAGTTCATGCAGCAGTTGAATATAACTGCGGCCGAACAAGCACCTTTGTTCAGAACTTCATTAATCTATTATTGGGTAGGCTGGAAAAAGGCATCAAGCTGGTTATTGTTGCTGAGAAATCGGAGGGATTTCCTGCTGTCATCGAACGCGATCTATTGGAAGACTCCCAGATTTTTGTTTCTGGGCAGAAACCAGGTCCTAGAATTCGAGAAGGATTTCGCAGAGGAATGACTAGGTATTCCAGCCACGTTTTACCCGTGAGGTCAGACTCAAGAGGTGTTGAAAATTGGCTGTCTGCTGTGGATGGCTCGGTGGGAATTGTATAGGATAGTATTTGTATCATATGCAACCAACAAAGAAGAGATATCATGTTTGTGTTATAGGCCAGTGTTCACAAGTGTGTATAACAAATCCAAGGGGAATATATACAACACCACAGAAGCATCACCTCTTATCGCTAACGATAAAACCCCACCAATACACAGGAAAATAGAATCCAAGTACTCCCTACCTAAGTCTCTGCTCCCTAGCCCATTGCTTATCTGTATGACCCTGAACAGTCTTCAGATAGCGATTGAAATCCCTTGCTGTCTTCAATACTTGATCAAGATGTTCCCAATCGAGTCTCTCCTTTCTATATACGGCCAACTGGCGTGCAGTTGTCATCGCATTTCTGATCTGCCTCCCATTCAGTTCCTCCGAAGCTAGATCATCTAGATGCGATTCGAGCTCGCTGACATTGACGTCCGCTCCAGCTTCCTCAAGCATAACTATAAAGTTATTCCAAATCGTGCGTCTGGAACTTTTGCTGAGATCTTCGTAATGTAGGGAAACCTGGATCCGCGATTTGAATGCTTCGTCGAATATACCGACTCGATTGCTCGTCATAATGAGGATCCCGTCATAGTACTCGAGGATTCGAAGAAATACTGATTACAACGTTAAAAGTGTATATGATTGAGGGGTGAATGAGTTACCGGAGACCAAGCTGTTACGTTCGAGGTCGGCAATGCCGCGTTCCTCGAGAAAGACGTCTGCTTCATCCAAAAGCAAGACTTCCGGTGTTAGATCCAACATTTTTTCAACTACGGCATTTAAGTCCTGACTTACCACAGTTCCAAGTTTTCCCGAGATATAGCACCGTTTGAAGATAGCGTTCCACGTCAGCCACTTTTGTACCCACGTCGCCACATGTTACCCGATATAATGGTTTCTCAGCGATTTCAGCAACGCTTTCTAGGGAAAAAGTTAGCATTTGCGGGTTCTGGTCTGCTTACAACGTACCAGCTGTCAGCGTCTTTCCCGTTCCCGGACCTCCATGTAGCAAAATCATAAGTCCATTACCCTTTCCTTCGATTATATCTTCTACTCTCCCAGTGGCAATGCGTACTTGGACCAGTGCGGTAATAAGTTCTTTGGTTTTCGAATCCAGAACTAGTCTATCAAAGGCACGTTTATTCCACTCAATCGGATGGATCCCGCCGACATCTAGTTGTACTGCATCTGAATCAGCGTTCTTGTCCCATATTGAAAGTGACCAATTTCACGCACACCACCTCTTCTCTTGCAGCCAAAATCCATATACTACTGTCGGAAGCAATATGACTGTTAAGTCGTCAAGGTCGTCTTCCCAAGGAATACTAACAGGCCATTGACCGATACGAGAGGCATCTCCCCTCCTGGGAGAGGTGTCCCTTGCATGTTCTCTAGGATGCATCCTGGAATAGGTTTGGATATCAATGACAACCCTTGTATGTTGCTGAATAGGGGCATTAGCCTCGGATATCGGAGCATACTTTCCTTATAAAACTTGGACCTACATGGTTTTTGGTCTTCTCTATATCGAAGCCGGAATAACAGCCAAAATACCGCTCTTTCATAGCCCAAAACATCTTGCCTCGCATTCTCAGTTCTTCTATAATGGTATTATCAGTCTTAGAAATCGGACGGATTGGCATGTCGGCTATGGTGGAACTATCTGGTAGTGGCAAGGGTAGTTGTAACACGGTGTGATCCCGTTGAAGATTGATACCATTATATATCCAAGACCAACAAGGTATCCACAAGAACGTCTCGCGGGGGCGGTGGGGCCAGGTCGCTATCACATATGCCCTAACTGTTTCTTTGCTCTTCTCAATCACGATATTGTTTGGACAAAAGAGCTTGTCGATGTGCTTGTTCGTTACTATTCCGGAGTCGAACTGATTATCAGCTTCGCGATACTCGGCTCCCCAGTCCGAATCTATGAACTCAAGCAATCCCAAGACATGCTCCGTCATTGGGTCGGATCTTTCTTCTGAAAGCTTTCTTAAAGCAGCTCGATGGTGGTAGAGAAACAAATAAGGGGCATCCATGTCAATCATTTTCTCATCCACACCGGTAATGTGATTCTGGTAGCCCGGCCGGGGTGGGTCATATAAGGCTACTTTTACGACTGCCTTCTGTAGCACGCCGGGGGGAATAACCATTCTCTCGGCTCTAGGGGATATTTGTGTATCGGCGATTGGGAACCTCCTATATTCCGACTCGAGTTGGCGTTTTGACGGCCTCTCTCCTTGCACGCATTGATGCTGCTTGAAAATGATAAAGGAGATATCCGGGTTTTGAACGCAGTACCTTCCAAGGTGCAGGACAACCATCTCCCCTTCTAATTCCTGATCTCCACTTTTTTCAGAGAATTTTTTGACTGGTTTGTCTTCATAAATGATTTCTTTGGCATGGCTATGGTATTGAGCAACACAAAGGACTTGATGCAGAACCTGTCGACGGGGTACGCTTTTCACGGGGCGGTCTGGGGCCTCTGACCCTGGCACGGACGGTGGGGGCGGCGGTGTCGGTCGAACGATTGGTTGTGTCAAGAGACTTTCCATAAAGTTTCTCTCATCGAATGAACTCAATTGTGTCCAGCAGATAGCTGATGAATAGTGATTGTGGGTTATCATCGTATAAATCGAGTGCAAAAGATCTCTCCGCTGCACGACCTAATTCAGCTGTCAAGTCTGGAAAGAATTGATTTGGGATATGTTCGTGAGCAGGAATTGGTCCCTTCGTCAGGTCTACGCCAGGAACTCTGCTTTTCCAACCAGCTAAGGTTTTTCGCTTAGACATGTCTGGTGGAAGATTACGATATACCGAGGGAGAATTGCCCTGTCCCTGCCGATGATTCTCTAGACTGGACTCGGATTTTCTTCTGCCGGTAACACGCAGCCTGTCTCGCCAAATATAAGGTTCAGAAACGCGTGGATTGCTCCAATTTTGCATGAGCAAACTTTGAAGGGTGCTGTTAGGCAGCATCTGCCCCATAAGAGAATCCTGAGGATGTATTGATTCAGTGGGGGGATGAGGAATATCAGGAGGCGGAGGCAGATGAAGACTATCAAAAGGTGGATGAGGAATACCAGGAGGTGGAGGTGGAGGGTTATTTGTAATAGCAATAGGAATAGGGTCGGGACTACTATATCGCCGGATTCCCAGACGACGTTTGGGAGAGCGACGGCCGTGTTCCCGTTCGTTGTCTTGTCCAGCTAGGGCCAATTCATTTGGTTTCTCCGCCAGAATTTGCAAGTCGATGGAATCAGCAGCTGAAGTGTCCTTCCGAGAGATAGTTGAAGGGACTGGTAGTCCCTCCGATGGACCCTGTTGACGATTTTGACGTGTTGCACGAAGGTCGACTTCAGTCAGGTTGACAACCATTCCCTTCGCGCCAGCCTCGGAGCCGCGCACAGAATTATCCGCATCGGAATCGCTATAAGTCGAAAGAACTTCGTTTTCGTAAATTGAATCGCTATCTGAATTGTTTGTTAGCCAGATCTCCTTTCCCCACAGGGTAGAAGACTCTCACCATTCCTAAAACCGGCTTCGCCGTCTCCAAACTCGTTCTCGATGGACATGGCTCGATGTTTTGGTGGTGGCATACCTGCAGACGTAGGTCAAATCGCTGTGAGATCAACGGACGATCTTTTCAGAGAGTCGACTTGAGAAGGGGAAACTCCTTCACAACAGAAGCAAGGCCGCGAGCCTAACCTTACTGTGCCCAAGGCTGCCTGGGAACTGCCATCCCGCTTTCAGCCCCATAGAAGGCATCACCCACCAACCGCCCACGCCCCCTTCCCGCTCAACTTGGATTTTGGAGACCTTAACGCCACAAATTCGAAAATTAATACGATATTCGCAATATTTCGAGTATTCACTATGACCTGGAAATTTTTTAGAATTTTCCAAAGACTTTGAAAAATCTAGAAAATTTTGGTGGGGTAGGCGTGGGCGGGAAGGAGGTTTGGGCGGTTGGCGGGTTATCCCTTCTAACGAGTAAGTGTCGATGTGGCTGTGCTAAACAGGGGGCTGACAGCCCGCAGCACGGTAACAATGACACCTCCTAATATATAATAAGAAGATATAGTATTATGGAATTCTCTTGTAGGTACATCCTATTCCTACATCTTTATCATGTGTTTGTATCTCTTCAAGGTACAATCTTCGAGCTTTTTCTTGACTTCCTTTCCAGTACCGATCGATGTGTTTGTTGTTCACGGAGCCTGTCTACGAGAAAGTCTTGTGGCAATGTGGTCTTTGGCCTCGCGAAGAGTCTAGCAATAGTAATAGCAAAGTGAAATTTATGACAAATCTCAAGAATAAGAAGACGTGTGCGGTGTCTGAAAGGTAGATTGCAGATAACTTGGTAGTTGTGTTCGAGAGGAATAATTGTCAAAACTTGACAAAAACGAGATGATGCGCCCCAAGCCAACACCTAGCCTCATTAGTTAAGTGTGTACTGCTCTGGTTGCTCTGACGGCTCAGGTGAGCTGGCGCAGCTGAGGGAGCAGAAGGTGATTAGCGACTGAGTACGAAGATCACGGCATAAAGTGACGGGATAGGGGCATTTGTGCTTGCAACATCACTTCAGTGTCTGTTTCGAGCGCACTCGGCTACTAAATTGCCCTATGCTGGGAGGGATTCTACCGGGAAACCGGAGTATTACATAAGCCAATTTCCAACACCCACCATACTTGTATATCTAGAACCACCGCAGACTTTCCCCCCGCACCTTAGCATCTCTATGCCTGGATATTTATCCTTACATAGAAATGAATTCTTTAGACTGGGAGTTTGCGTCCCTTACAGGGCATCCTATCCAAGACACTGACCTCGACCAACTCAAATTTGCCTACAGGCCTCTACCAACAGCCTCTTCCATCCGCTTGTTGCATCTCCAGTCCGGTGTAGGCGATGGCGCTGTCATCCGTCTGTTGACGAGAACCGTTGATCTCGACGACAAGCCGCAATACGACGCGCTCTCGTACACCTGGGGCCGACCGATATCTGTGTTCCAAACAAAAGAGGGGCGCGACTACCTAGAGGATCAACAACTGCCCGTCATTTGTGATGACCGGATCGTAAATATAGGGCAAAACCTACATGAATTCCTTGGCGCCTGGCAGCGGATGCTTCAAGCCACCAGCGATGGCAATGATGAGAGGACGGTGTCTGCGAGAAAGGTTGGTTTGCTACCTCCAACTGAGCTGTGGATCGATGCTCTCTGTATCAACCAAAGAGACATGGACGAAAAAAGCACCCAGGTTAGCATGATGGGCCGCATCTACAGCCAGACCCAAAAGGTAATCATCTGGCTCGGACCGGAAGATAACTTCACACGACCAGCTCTTCAGATCATTTTCAAGATGCAAGAAATCGAGCAATTACAAGCCAGGGCTTGTCGCTCAATGACGGATGAAGACGGCTGTAAATCACTGGGACTACCACCAATCACATCCAGCATCTGGTGGTCTGTCTTCGCTTTCCTTCACCGTTCTTGGTTTCGGAGAGTCTGGGTGATGCAGGAACTGGCCTTCGCACCGCAAATCCAGATGCAATGCGGGCTCTTGACGTTTCCATGGGCCGCTCTGAGCAAGGCCGCCGGTGTCCTCTACGAGAGCAGACTTGGGGACTCCATGGATATGTGGGCCTGGATGGAGTTGGATGGACCTAAATTCAACGAGCCGTTGTTTCTGGAGGACCTTACTCCGATCTTGACCACCGAGGAACGACTAGATTCGGACCGAAATTTATTCTCGACATTGAAAGGGCGAGCCGTAGGAAGTTCCTTTCACAACATTATACGGCTAGAGGCTACACGTGTCGGTGACGGCTCAAGACTAGGAGATGGAGCTGACGGTTTCCGGCTGGGCACGAACTCGAAGGAAATTATCCCGTTCGTACCAATCTTGCATATGTTCGACTCCACGCGCAGGTCGGAGTCAAGTGATCCACGTGATAAGATTTACGCCGTGTTGGACATTGCGAAGAGAGACGTTCATGACACTGACCTTGTGTCTCCATACCGCAGACCCCTCGTTCCAAATTATCACCTGGATACAGCGGAAGTATACCTCGAGGCTGCGTGGTATATCTTATTATCTAGCAATGATCTGGAGCTCCTGTCAAGGAAAAATCTTTATTCAAAGAATGAAGAGAGTGGGCTGAAGCCTCGGAGTCTTCCGTCTTGGGTTCCGGATTGGACTTTGACTTTGAATGAGACATCAATGTGGGCATTGAAACCATTCAAGGAGGGTAATTGGTCAGCATCGCGCGACGTATTTTGGGTGCCACCTGAAAAGTCGAGCGTATACAGACAGATCTTGACAGTTCAAGGAGCCTTGGTGGATGTCGTCGCGGAGGCAGTGGAATCTGAGAGCTTCTCTCTGAGCAAATCGGGCGTTGTCGCTGCTGGTCTTCCTGCAGTTTATCCTTGGGCATCAGAGAAGTTAACACCCGGGGACGTACTCTGGAGGACTCTCGTTGCCGATTACGACGAGAACAACTACCCTGCTTCTGACGAGTTCAAGGCTATTTTTTACGATAGCTGGATGGAAGAGAACAGAAAGGCCTATCGTGAATATTATTGCGAGGAGGGGCTTTCAGATCCAGAGAAGGAGGCTGAATGGTTTCGCTTTGTAAACCACACTTCCGCAATATTCCCACAAGAGGAAAAGTCATTCGAAGAAACAATCAAGACCGAGATAAAGGGAGAAAGGTGTCAGGGGAGTGTGGCACCATCACCTCAGCCAAACAATGAAAAGTTACAGCAGAAGCCCAGGCAACATGATGGGCAATCTGCACGGAACTCAGTTGCATCTGAGAAGCCCCCAATCCAAATTGAACAACTTTCCTTCAATAATACAGAACCGGAACACGAGAGACAAGAAAGGGCAGAGGAAAACTGCGCAGTTCCCTCAAAGCTTAACCTCGCTAACCAGGCTCTCTCCCAATTCGACATCATGATGAAGCAACTCGCCAAATCCGCCGAATTTCCGCAGAGTGGCCCTGATGGGGCCAATAGAGCAGATAGCAAAGTTGAGGTAGAAGAGGAAGACGACCATCAAGACACCAATACCGATGAAGACCAGGCCCTAACCCAACCCCCCAAAATACGCTCTCCTCACTCCTTCTCGGAGCGCGAGTTCGATCGCCTGAGACTTATGTTCAGCTCCAGTAGAAGAATCTTCAGGACGCGTGAGAATTATCTTGGTAATGGACCAAGGAGCATACGGCCGGGTGACCAGGTTTGGATTCTAGCGGGGACAAAAATCCCGTCTGTCCTGCGTCCGCAGGAAAACGGCAAATACGTGCTCGTCGGAGATTCTTACGCCCATGGGATCATGCATGGAGAGGCATTTGAGAGGCAGGGGTTTGAGTTTGTGGACATTCAGCTAGAATAACATCAGCAGATCCCAAAAATTATAGGGTAATCAGGTCGGAGAAGTCCTTAGTAGCTTTCCAAAACCTCCCACAATGTTCTCCTAAATAACAGTCAGCTCATATGGTTGAGAAGGGTGATGAAGCAAAACCTCCCAATCGCACCCACATTCACGATCCAAGATTTGAAAACCTCCCTGAGCTGTGGTATAAGATACATGTCTTGATCTTTGACCTGAGGAGCTACCAAACAAACACCGGATCTCGTGATAGGCTCGAGATAATCGTCGATCCCTCATATATCGGCTCGCCTTATTTCACTAGCTGTGAAGTCGCGATCATAAAATTTCCCCCAAATCGGTGGGAGCAAGGGACTAACAATGCTTGCGGAGCTTATCGATGAATTTTTGCAGGTAAGGTTGGAATGGAAGATGAAGAAGCGAGTAGAGAGTGTGGATTTCAGGGTATGCACGGCCCATGATGTTGCGCCGATCGTGGAGAAAGTTCTGGGGGCGAAGGAAATGGACTTCAGGAATGAAGAGTTCGTTGGGTTAGTTAGTAGAAAAGTGGGGATTGGAGTTGGGAGAGGGTACAGTTTGGAAGGGAACGCAGAAGTATTTTGCTCCAAAGGGCAAGAAAGAAGGAAGAGTTGAGCAGTGCTGAAGGGTAGACAGATTTCATGACTGCGTACATTCACTATCCAATAAAACCCAACATAACATACAGTTCAGACATGCATTGATCTCCGCCGTTCCTTAGCTCCTCCCACCAGCCCTCTGCCAATAACACCGAGTACAACTTACGAAGGGACCATGAATGCTGAGTTGCTGACTATGGAGGAAGCGGAGCCTACAGAATATGTAATGCCGATTCTGGAGCTAGTACTGCCGCCAGAAAACATCGATGATCCATGGCTCGAAATGCTTGCTGTATCGTTTCGCTCCATCGTCTCGCGATCTCGCAGATTATCTATATGGCTATTCCTTAACGGTTTGTGCTGAAAAAGGCGGCGATGGGCATCAAGTTTTGACCAAGCAGCCTCGGCCCTCATCCACATTGCCAACAGAGGGACCTTGTCCGATTCTTGAACAACCGGTTGCATCTCAGAAGGTTTTGTCACGACCAATAGTTCACCTAAAGCAGCAAACAGCTCTTGCTCGAGTGCTTCTGTCATGACTAATGTCCTCTGGAAATCAGTTCTCTCGAAAGACTTTTGATGGATAAGCGCAGAGAAGTGTTGTAAAGCGTTCTCTAACTGCTCTATGCTTTGGATCAGCTTTCCTTGTCGTTTGTAATGCATAGAAAGCTCCCGGCAACATTTCAACAGTTGGATCCTAGTCGCTGGGTTATTAGGGGACCTGATTGGTGCTGGAATTGTAAAGCACAAGTCCGCGAGTTCAAATTTCTTGAGTTTCGAATAATGGGCCCCAATCCCCACAAATTCGGTCCAAAGCTTGAGGTGATGCGGCGCTTCGACCCATTGTTGCTGAATAATCTGTAGCTGAAAGATATTGTCAGCGAAATCTGGCCCAAGTTCCATCTTGTGGTGTAATCTTTGGACAGAATCCAAAAGTTCTACGACTTTTCTACTCTCCTCGGTTGTTTTGGCCAGGACGAAATTCTCGATTATTGCCTCAAGGAGGAAGTGAAGGGCTTCGGAATCCCGCCCTAGGACCCTGAGGAAATTGCCAAGTATCAATTGGCATTTAATCTGAGACAATCTTTGGCGTAGGGCCTTGAATCCTGCGATGGCTTGTCGATAGAGGGCCTCCGAATCCCGGTATTCTTTCATCCTCCTCAAAATTCGTGCTTTACGAACAAAACATCTCATAGTCTCTTTACTGGCAGCTCCGAACTCTATGTCATAGCCTGCTTGAACGAGTTCCAATCCAATCAAAGCCTCTTTTAGAAGATGTGCCTTTTCGAAGAAGGAACATAACTTCCACATATTCTGGCAGAATTCCAAGCCTGTCTCATCACTATCAGCGACGAGATGCTCAAAGATTCCAGCCATGGACCTGCCGTTCGCTCGAAGCTCTAGAGCCTTTTGCTTCTGGTGGAAATAGAGCCGAGATCGAGCTGACAACGCTTGCATGCCCCTTTCTGATATAGTAGAGGATTCACTTTCCGAGACGGAGCCTTCAGATTCGTTGCTATCGTTGGTTCCCAGTACTGGCAGGATCCTGTCTGCGAGGAAAGGATGATCCAGCTCCTTTTCCACCAAATAATGCGGAGTCTCTATCTCGCTCTCTTCAAGCGGTTCCGAATTCCGTGCATGGTTTCCTCTTGTATTTGATACGGTCATATGAAGTGGAAGGCCTTTTGGAACACCCGTCGAAAGATAATCGAGTCCATTGTTGGGGTGCTGGACATGGGAGAACGACAAACCAGAAACAGCCCCAGGGTGTTTGGCTCTAAGGCTGGAGCTCTCAATCATACGAGAAATGACCCTATCCATCTGGGCAGCCAATGCATGTCCCAAAAGCCGATCAGGCTCATTAATCGTAGCCGAATTCCTAGAAAACATACGGTCAGCATCATTGAAAGTATGTGCACAACATCCTGACTGGCGGTAAAATATAAGGGGAAAGTGGATTAGTCTCGTAATTCCGAGACCTTGCGAGAACATTCGGATGTGGCAATTTTATTGTGCCAGAAATGAATCTTGTATAGTCTCGATGCGGAAGAAAAAGATGGGGAAATTTCGTACTGTGTGAGAGCAGGGCCATCCAGGCCATCCATCCCGCTCGAATCGTACGTTTGGTGCGTCTCCAAAATTGAGAAGCCGTCCTCACTGGACTCACTCTCGGAAGGAAGTTCTAACACAGTGGATAATCTGTCTTTTCCTTCACTTGTCTTGAAATCCAAGGAGATCTTGTTTCCAGGATACGGATACCAAGATGGGAAACCACCGTCTCGCTTTGAAACGGTTGGACTGTTCCTTTCTGGCTCTGGAGAATCTCGAGGGGGAGTGTGGTAAGTAATGTTTTCCGGCGTGTCTTTGTGAGATCGTCAATACCATGTTTTTATTGTGGTGTAATCACACTTACCTGCTTCGGCAGATATGTCGTCAATTTCCCTGGTTAATTTTCTCCGTTTGAACTGCTCAATTCTTTCTCGCGTGATCTGAGATTCTCCCAGGAAGAAAACAGTCCTTTTGCCTTCATCATGCATCCGCTTTGCCGCTTTTGCTACTAGGATACTCATATCGGCGGCTGAGATATTCTTGTCGAACTTCCATTCTTTTAGCTTTTCTTTCCATTTCCTCTCACTGTGATCATATGTCAGTCTCATTCTTGGAAGTGAAATACAATGTGGCAGGACGCGGGTACCTAGCCTTGAATCCATGTTTCTCCTCAATAACTCGTTTTGTATTTTGAAGTGTGAAATCATCGGTGATATATATGTGGCGTATCTCGTCCTGAAGCGAGTCCCATTTCTGGTCATTCCGAGCCCGGAGAGAAGGCCTTGTCACTGGACCGGATGTCGAGGATGTGTCTTTCTCCCAACCTGGCAAAGCCTCGTCCATAATATCATGGGACGTATTGCTGCAATATAGTTTATAGATGCGAACTGTGAAGACTTGTGCTAAGTTGGTAGACGTGGGAAAGAGAGGGACCGAAATTCTGGGAACAGGGAAACGAAGTAGTTTAAATGCAGGTCTCCTTCCACTAGTGATGCAACCGAAAAAATCTGGAGGGCCAAAGCCAACAAGCAGCAAGGCAGACTCTAAGCGGACCATTCAGATTTGCTGGCAGAAGTGCATTTTCGAAAGCTGGAAGTGCTGCGCCACCGTCTCTTAAGCCACAGTGTGGGACTCGACAGGGGCCGAAAATCTGATAGAAGGGTTCACTGGTCAACCGCCCAAACTACTCAACCGCCCAAAATTAAAATCTTAATATTTAATTAACGCCTTAATAAAATTTTAATTCCTATTGAATACTAATACTTTATAGTATTCTCAACCCCCTAATGGCTATATATTACTTTAAAACTATGTGGTATTACTAAAATTATTTATTTAGTAGCATTTTTGGCATTTTCCCACTGATTTTTACCCTGCCATCTCTACCCCTCACTAATTTCTATGCAATTAATTAATATCTTATATAACGTCCTAAATTCTTTGGTAATATATGGCTTAATATAAGAGAGTATATTAGAAGGTTTTTTGCATTATTATAATAATATTTCTTATTGAATTTTCTTTGGGATAAGAATTAGTAACTTGCGTTTAGTGGGGTAATAAGCCTAAATTTAAGTACCTAATTCTTGGAACAAAGAATCGCTCACATTACTTAAATATTCAATTGCACTTTAGATACTATTCGATTTTTCGATTATAAAAGCCCAAATATTAACCGAATTCGCTATTATACAGTAAACCCTATGAACTATTAGGGGCCAGCCCCATACTTCCAATTTTCGAATATAACACTGAATAACCGCCTCTTGCCTCCCTGACAAACGCTGTCTTGCCGCTATATCTTGTTCCTTTGGTTTCGCTCCATTAATTCGATCTCGAAGGGTTTCGTATGCAATTCCATGCTCTCTCGCGCATTTTCGAATGGATTTAGTCTTCTTGCTGGTATTATGATCAAGATAATCGTCATGGACCATCTGTAATCGCACGCTCTCAGAGAGCTCATTGGGATCGTCCGGAAATTCGACATAGTGATTTTTCTTTACAGGCATGTTGAGGGGCTAAAAAAGCTTCAGAAAACAATTGATTTGGTAGTAAAATATTATGTGGGTGTTGAATTATGATTTTTTGAAGGTAGCGATTTTGGGCGGTTGAGTAGTTTGGGCGGTTGGCCAGTGAAACCTTCTATACCCTGCCGCGTTATCAGTAAATCTGGCATAACCTCTCCTCCCGCCGCATTAAGCTGGCCAATTAACCTATGGGAATTTTGAAGCTATTGACGTTGCTGGACTGAATTTTCACAATATTTATTAATTGTTTGAAAAATTCTCTAAGAAGTAATGACTGGGTAGAAAAATAGCCTTAATTAATACCGAAACCCTTATAAATTAGCTAAGGCGAGGTTGCGACTTTTAGACTGCAGCGACTGCAACGATGTTGCCCTCGCCTCCTAAAAGCGCCCTGAATGCCCTCAATAATACCACCTTCTAGCGAGCATGTTGCGATTTAATTAAATCGCGATCTATATCATAGACTTATATACTTCTATACGTTACTCATATTTTTTTTATTTTTACGCTTTAACATACTTCTAGTGAGGTTTTATTTAAAGTTCTATAGAGTTTGATTTTGGGAATAGCTGCGCAATCTCGCATTAATTAATTGGCCAGCTTAATCCGGCGGGTGGAGAGGGCATGTCAGATCTACTGATAACACAGCAAGGTATATCAAATTTCCGGCCCTCGACAGGAAAGGGAGGCTTGGTCCAGCCCTATCTGCCCGGTTCCGGTTTTAGAACGCATGGGAAATGCTTTGACTCTAATGGTCAGATCTTGGACAGTGAGACACTCATGTAAAACCTCTCCTGAGCATCTTGTCGATAGCTCTAAAGACTGGACTGAAGGTTGTGTCAATTGACCAACTGGCGACCAATAACCATTGTCAATCTCATTGTCCCGGTCCGAGGGGCCCAAAAGCGGGGTCAGGCGTGAGCACCCTATAAGAGCTGCAGAGTGATGCCTGTACCCAAATTTGTAACATTTAAAACAAGAAATAAATAGTCACTAAGAGACACCCATTTCATTTAAAGAATTTTAAGATAAGCTCAACTTAGTTGAGTTAAGTTAAGATAGATTAAAACAAAGCTTATCTTTTTTATCTTATAGTTCTCTTTCTAAAAGTACTTAAAAAACATAGATTTATATTCAGAATTATGAAGAAAATTGCACACAAGCAGATTGTTATGTCGTGCCTCAAATACCTGAACGGACCAGAGCTGAGGGGCCTATCACGCCGAAAGCTTGGAGTTGCCAATATTCAAGTCAAGGCGCGGTCTCCATTTACGAATTATACATACAACTCTTTGTTCGAGCATCTCCCACAAATCTTCGACCGATGTAGACATCCCCAACGCTTTACATCACTTTTTCAGCTCACCTCATATGCATGTCCTCACTTGGATAGATTATATCGCCACCTATTCAGATTTGAAACGACTCATCAACACCGAGAAGACGATTAAAAAGCTCCTGCAGAGGAGGGCGAAGCATACCAACCCTTTCCGCTGTGGGAAAGAGGTCACTTTACTGAACTCGTGGTTAGTAGATCTCGTGCCTTTAGTGGCCAATTTTGGAGAGAGAAAAAGAAGAAACAGGAAAAGTTTCCTGGAAAACCCAGCTTCTATCTATCATCTCCTACCACTGTTCTGTCAACCAGAGAGCGCCCCCCCTAAAGCCATTTTTAGCCGGGATACACGGAACCAGCGGTATGCAACTTGCGGGTCTGTCGAATAAGACCTGGGGTGACTATCTGAGCACGATCCTTGAGCCACAAGAGCAAATTTCGCGCCTTGCATGCTCCGCAACTTGCTTCGCAATTAGTACTAATAGTGGGACTATCAAGAATTTTAACCAAGTAATCGACCAGATCTGCCAGGAAGTCAAGACTCTGCGTAACAAACACAAAACTCCAGTTAATCTCTTGAGATTCGGAACAAAGGAAGCTATTCTAGCATCGTCCGATTCTAAAATGCTACTCATATAGGGCACATCTTTATGGACTTAGCGACATGAGCCTGCAATCGCAGCGTAGCCGATGTCAATCTCGTTTGCCGAAGAGGATTCGAGACTACTTGTATGTCTGAAAAACAACCACTTCCCCATTTTGGATCTGAGAACTGGGACTAAAAAGTATTCCGAGGACTGGACTCGAGATCTTGAGGGTTAAAGAGCGCTTTCCTGTTCTCATCCCATAGCAGCTACGTGCAATGTCGATGAACGTTTGTTGGCAGTGGTGTACCGGGGTTAAGACCTTCTGCTTTGAGACTTCGTGGCGGATATTTTACTGGAGATCAATACAAAAGCAGGCACTAGTGCCAGCATTCGTCGGAACGTGAACGGAGGCGTTATTACCGCAGTCTTTGGAACTCGTCCTAATCTTTCTCTCCTTGCAGCTGCATACGTTGATGGGGATCTCGTGGTTTTCGATATCAGCGATGACTCTGTAAAACGTAGAAAGCCTGCTAAGGCCCAAGTGCTTGCGCCTTCCCAGACGGTCGAAGTCTTGTAGCGGGGGATACTTCCAGAACGGTCCATTTGTACGACTTTGAGACTTTGAGACTTTGCGACTTCTAAACAGAATCAAGTCGGACGACTTTATAATTAGAAGTTTGAAGTTCGGCAGAGGTAGTTGTCGCATACTTGATAGTATTGATCAATCGGGACCCACTGTGGAGCCCGAATCGTAACCCCCCCTCCCCCCTATTGATCAATCGGGCTCCCGATTAATCAATCGTAACGCCCAATTGATCAACCGCTCGTATTGACGAACGGCGGGGGGGACAGATCGAGGACTGGAAAAACGTGAAGTCGGAGAGAACGTCTCTGCCCACTGAGATGCGGCGAGCTCCGAGTCTGAATCTTGGTGCGATTTCACGACTTGAATTGGGAACGATTTAGGGTTATTTTTGGGAAAGAACTTGGTCTTCGTTTTGGAGTGTGATATGTGTCATACTGAGAGGGGGAGAGAACCACAGGGAAATGTTCAATGTGTACAATAACAATGGAAAGTGAGACGTTGCCGAGGTGTGAGAGTCAAATTCCAATCTTGAAGACTTATTTGCGAATCTTTCGCCTTTTAAATATCTTCCATTATGACTCGTGGTAGCAGAAGTTGAGGCTTTTTACTCGTTAGAGAGTCTGGCAGTCCAGGCTCTGAAGCCCCTGTAATTGAGAGCGAAGAGCCTAACCGAGCCCCTTTATTTAGCGAAATGAACCTCAATACCGCGAGCCAGTAATATTTCCCGGAATCTGAAGGGCATTTCTAAAACAATCAAGGACGGACCTTACTGCATAAAGGAAATTTGTCACACTCAATTGATGTATCATGAGGATATAATTTGGCGAGAATTTGCTTCTTTGAGGTTTTAATACTCCGTATCCACATGGCTACAGGGATGTGGCTCCCCAAAGATGGGGTGGTCCCGGGGTCGGGTGGATCACGGCCTCATCACCCCACTAATCTCCTGATGGCCTCAACTCCAACCTGACCAAATTTTCGAATCTGCAAACCGAACACTGGCGTGAGGAAAAGTAAAGAACGGACAGGAAAGACAATCTCGTCGCTTGCACAAATCATGCCAAAGGTCGCCAGCGGGGTTGAGGCAGTAGCTGTCCACGAGACAATTAAGTTGCTAATCGACCAACTTGTCAATATTAAGGATGAAACGGGAGAATTCCTCTTGCGGTTGGAAGACGGCCGAGTAATCGACACCAAAGGATGGAGTGGATGGGAATGGACTCATGGCATCGGGCTCTGCGGCCTCTGGAATTACCACACCCTCACCGGTTCTCCAGAAGCCCTGAAGCTTATCGAATCTTGGTTCGCAGACCGTTTCAGCGAAGGCGGAACTACGAAAAATATCAACACCATGGCAGCTATGCTCACCTTAGCATACCTGTACGAGAAAACCGGGAGTGCGCCCTGCCTCCCGTGGCTGGAATCTTGGGCAGATTGGGCTATGTATGAACTTCCACGGACAAAGTATGGCGGCATGTCGCACCTGACTTACAACCTACTCAACTCGGAAGAGCTCTGGGATGACACCCTAATGATGACCGTTCTTCCCCTGGCCAAGATCGGCAAGCTCTTGAATCGACCCCACTACGTCGAGGAAGCGAAACGTCAATTTCTCCTCCACATCAAGTATCTATTTGACACGAAAACGGGTCTGTTCTATCATGGTTGGACTTTCGATGGAAATCACAACTTTGCCTCAGCGCTGTGGGCCCGGGGAAATAGCTGGCTGACGATTGCTATCCCGGAGATGTTGGAGCTGCTTGACCTACCCGAGCATGATGCATTCCGTATCCACTTGATTGACACACTGGAAGCTCAATGTCGAGCACTCATACTACACCAAGAGCCGGGAGGCCTCTGGAGAACTCTCATCAATATGCCCTCTCACGAGGGCTCCTATGTTGAGAGCTCAGCTACTGCGGGCTTTGCGTTCGGCATGTTGAAGGCGCTGCGTCTGCGGTACATCAAAGGGGAGGAGTTTCGGGCTTCTGCTATCATGGGGGTAAAGGCTGTTTTGGAGAAGGTTAGTGATGAGGGTGAACTTATGGATGTCAGTTTTGGAACGGCGTTGGGAGATACACTGCAGCATTACAAGGACATTGATCGGACTAGCATGCCGTATGGGCAGGCAATGGCTATCATGGCACTCGCGGAATTCTTGCGTGTGTTCATATGAGCCAACTCTCTTTCTACTGCCGGATGATATGGAAGATTTGTTTGGGACCCGCAAATATGCGGCAATTGCGAGCCAAGGCAAAGGGTCTTTGCTTGGCCGGACAAGGGGAGAATGAAGGGTTTCCCATCCGATTCTTTCTAAATCTCAAAAACCGATGAGTCTTAGCCAACAATGTAAATGGAGCCGGATGAACCTATTTGCAAATGTCAAAGATTATCCAAGTTTACGACCCGTTCTCGCCGCAGTTCCAAAAGACTTCTTTCAAACATTTCAGTAGAATGATAATGCGGTCAGTCGACATTCACCAAACAGATTAAAGCAGAATAACTGGAGGTGTATTGGAATTGTACGCATGAATAAATGGACCGTACTTTGTGAGAAATTGGCATCAGATACAGCCAGAAGCATGTATGGACCCCCGTAGGTAGATATGGTCCCGTGACATTGCATGCGTCTCCAATTCAACCGACTTTATGGCCACTTGGTTCCAGACAAAAGGTTCCAGCGAGATAAATAAGATGAGCTTTCCAAGAACTCCCAGATTTCTTCAATCGCTTGGATAAGAGAAGGCGTTCTCAATCTCATGTCAACCATTCTCGACATCAGCAGATCCGGCATGATGAGTGCAACACCTCGCAAGCCCGCTGCTATCGGCCTTTAGGCATTCAGGGTTCCGGAAAGAGCACTCTATTGGAGAAATTCAAGCCAGAACTGGGAACAGATACTTTCACATTCTACGATGGCTCACAAGCTCTTGCTGATGTTCTTTCAGGTATGAACTCTCTCCTCCTTATGTTTTTGATGTTGACGATACTGACGTGAGCTTGTCCAGGTAGCCACGACGAATTCAAGAGAATGAGCGAGGAACAGAAGACCTATTGGCGCGAACAGGAAATTCAAAAAAAAAAGAAGGAAAAAAAAGAAGAAGAAAAGAAAAAAGGAATCTACACGCGAAAACTCCCGACACGTAAGCGTACTTCTCTGAACTAACGACTTCAAGCAACTCGTGAATTGCTTTTGCTTCCAGAGATATCTCGAGTGCCCGGCTGTGATCATGCAGGCATGTCTTCAAATATTCAGAGCTCCTATGATATAGATTCTAATTCGCAATGACATTTACAATTACAACATGAACTTGGATGTCCCCGCCAAGACGGTGGCTGAGCAGCATCTCAACAATAAGGAGAGAGCTCAAGACTCCGCAGCAGCCGATCACCTGTGCAGGCGACGAGAAGCCGGGAAGACAAAGCTCCACGATCTCTGCCTCCAGAATGGAATTCTGTTCATGTTCATTTTCCCGAGCCCGAATTTGATCGACAAAGCCTCAATACTTCTCTGCAACTTTCAGCACCATACTGAGGAGGACAACATATCTGTCGCCAATACCAAATTTGATAATGCCGTCAATACCCCTGAGGCTGCGCTAAGTATGGTGATGGCTTTGGATGGAGACAAGACTATATCTAGTTGCGATTCTGGAACCTTGCTCTGGGGGATGGTTTTCCAGGAAAAGCGGCGGAGAGAGGAAAAACCAGAGCGCCCGCTGAAGGAGATATTCAGCAGTTCACTAGGATATTCCTACCCTGCGTTCCTATGGGCTGTATAGCTGTAGGTGTTGAAATTAAGTGGCACATAAAGCTTAATTCAGTACTAGCTAATGATGGGAGAAGCCCAGTTTATGTGGGCGAAAGCACAAAGAAATGCCTTAACTTCAATAGTATGAGGAGAGAGCTGACGATCTAAAATTTGAAGAGCTGTGGGCAGCTGTAGCTGGATATGGAGCGGGTTCACAAATGCAAAAGCCGTAGTTTAGTGGCAAGGGCCACGTCAAAGGCGCAGGAAAGGAAAATGCGAGGTGTGCTTACTTCTCTCTCCCTAGTATTTGCACCACCCTGCCATTGCGATTGAGCTAGCCTCCATACATGGTAAATCCCCTACTCAATGGCCCTCTGCCCGCCGTACCGCTCAGTACCGTTCAGTTCCGACCATTTCTATCGGTGTGTGTTAGATAGTGTACACAGTATTTAAGATACGCCCCACTCGGTGCGTATTATAACCAAAAGTTGTACGGATACCCCATAATATATACAACGATTGATATTACCAGTCATATACACTGCATGTATTAGCACAGACATCACGGGCAGTATGTACCGTACGGTACGGCTCGGAACTAGATATATATTATATTAGCGATATTATCCGGCGTGTCTATTCAACACCCTAAATATCAGCCATCATAATGCTTATATTATGCTATCTAACGCAGTGACCTTTTCTATACCGAGGCGTATTACGTTTTCGGATGATCTTCTGCCGTCCCGCACTATCGCTGTGCTCCCTTTCCTTTTCTAAATCGCATAATCTACCCGGTGTGATGAATCGCTACCGATTCACGCTGCCGCCCCAGACGAGGGGCTCCATCCGCTTCTTCAGCAGATTTGGAAGTAGCGTGAAAGCGAAGGTAGTGTGGTCATTGATCTCAGTCAAGCAATAGAAGCGGATTGGGGTCTCCCCATGAACAGCCCCAAGAATCGCGTAGAAGTGTTTGTTCGTAAGACCTACGCAGGCTGCTGTCACGATATCGAGGTGCTTGAAGAGGTGCATGTGGAGTTCGGGAGCGAGCGTGAGAAGAGGGTGTTCCGTCGTGGGGTAGCTTGTGAACCATCAGCAACTGCAAAGAAAGAAAGTGGTATCTGAGTTACTGACCTTTGGTGCTTCCCTTCAAGCAGGTCCTTGGACCCGGAAGCGTGACTTTCAGGCGCCATAACTGTGAGAAAATGGTGATCTTGTGTGTCTTGCTAGATGTTTTCAGAGAAGTTGCAGGCGATCTTGAGGGAGATCAGATTTGACGTCTGTTGAAGGTCCCTTGCAAGCTTGTAAAGACTACAAACTTCCTCGCTTGAAGGAGGTACCCTCCCACAGCTCCAAAGCAAGCTCCCTTGCAAAGATAATTGAGACTAAGTTTGAACTCACTCTCACGAAGACCGGAAATTCTTGAAAAGTAAAATTTGTTTTTGTAATCGTAAAGCACGTCGAAATGCAGAAGAGACCCACGCGTGGGTAGTCACGTGACAAGAATTCATTTCTCCATTGGTGAAGTTTTGGTCCTGGACGACACAGTCAAAATCATGGCAAGTCCTTTTTAATTTAGTATTTCTGTATATAGCTCCGGTGACAGGAGCTCATTGGTACACAGAGAGATTCACAGCAGCTGGCTAGATGCAAAGTATGCAATATCCCTTTCGAAAACTGCCACATGAGGAGCTTGAGTTCATCGGAACCGAAAAACAGTCATGCTGTTGGAACGACTAAACCGGAGGCATGATGTTACAAGTGAATGAGATGCTGTGTAATTGAAACCGAAAAGAACGACCGTCAAAATCTTCGGAGATGAGAAGCATGACATGTTGGGCTGGAAACTCTCGGTGTCAAACTACTGTTAGCAAGAATTGCCCCCATCCACCTTGCGCGTAGTTGCTAGACTTGTATATTCCGTAGAACATGGATGACTGATTGATATTCGAGAAGAGGTGAGAGTGAAGAAAGAGAGCAAATTGGAGCCAGAAGTTGGCTGGTTGTGGCGGGTAAGACCTGGCCAATGGGAAGCTTCGGTCGATGACGTCCTTCCTTGACCTGGCCCACGAGGCTGACTCTCCGAACATCTTTCTCCATCATCTCGCAACACCATCCCCCGAGCTTTAGGAACAGCAACGTTATCTCTATACTGTGGCAATTTGCAACGGACTGAGCTTTTACGCCAGGAGCTGTGCGTTATTCAACAGACGTCACAGCTGGCGCCAATCGTTTTTAGCGCTGTGCAAGACGTCGCCGCAAAACCCGCCCACATTCCTCTCGAAGACATCGACGACAACGATCCCAGAAGAGACGAGTCAAGGTTCAAACACCTTGCCCATTCCTATCGGGTGATGCATATCCGTCAATTGTTTCTTGCGCCCACTTCCACATTTGTGTCTGGACGAATACGCAGTCTGTCGTCGCCGCCACCGCCCGTGCTGGCTTCAAGAGTCTAGCATTCGAGAAAAAGCCTCATATGTTTCGAAAGATCAGCAGATTAAGAAGTATTGAAATTGTACTACTGCGACGACGAAGGCACCGAGTCAGACTCTGCGAGTTGAAACTAACCAGTTGTCACAATGTCTACCCCAGCCCCGCCTCGTTCCACGTCCTCTTCAAATGCGAACGCGGAGAATCAGCATCCAAGACCAACGGCTCTGCAGATTCCTGAAATCAATGCAAACAATTCGAATTCCACATTGCGACCCGACGCTGTTACCCCACAAGCGATACCTAAGAAGAAGAGAAATCATCGCGGTGGGAGGAAGAAGCGGACGAGGAAGCAATCTTTTGCTGCCTCGACGGAAGATGGTTCCGGTATGCCAGAAACTTTACAGCCACACCGGCGAGGCCCTTCGGAGAGTGCTGTGCGGAACAGTTTCTACCGACTGCAAGGCAGGAATCCAAGCAACACGAGTATCGAGAGTGAGGCACTGTTGGACCATAGGTGATGATTTGAAGCAAATCTATGTTGAAAGATTCTAATTTATGCTCCATAGGGACCAACAAAGTATGCGCCCAAGAAGATCCTCAACAATAGCTCAAAGTCCCTTTGGTGGCGGGATATACGACACCCCCACCTCATATCGACCCCAGTACCATAATCCATTCACATCTTCCAATGATTCTACTCGCCGACCGAGAACTGCAAAGAACGAAAGTGATGAGGAGGATGATACGGTACAAGATGAAAGAGCCCCCCTCATATCCTCATCTTCTCGATCGAAACTCTCTGGGCCGGGCGTTGGATATGGAGCGTACGGTGGGGAGAGCAAACTTAGCAGACATAATTCACAGCGACGGTCTTCCAGCAAATCCTCTTCGAGAAGTAGGAAGAGGACCATATTCGACAAGCAGAGTGCACCATTTCCGCAGCAGAGCGAAGAGTATAATGTTAATTATCCACCATCGATACCTGGCAGCCCTCGGCTCAGTGCTACAAATCGAGAGATGAGCTTTGGGGATATGATGGTCAGAGATGACTTTGCGCCATCACGAGCATCACCTGGAAGGGATCTTGACGATGTCAGTGAACATGCAGTAGAAGACTCGCCTCGGAGAGAATCAGGTTTCGAACGGAGACATACGATTGCGTTGCAAGCAGAGGAAGACGTCTGCTTCCCAGTGGATATGTCAGAAATCGCGGACGAGGATATGCCTCAGCGGGAAGGAGCAGCTTTTCGACGTGAAGGGGGCCCAAGACGAAGGCGAGGGAAGTGGCCGGATTTATCAATTCTTGACGAATGGAGCAGGTTTGAAAAGGAGGGCCGGAGTGAGGAGAGGCGAGCAAAAAAAATCACCGAGCCACAATTGATCGGTGGACGATTGCGACCAATCCACAAAGGCTGGCATCGGGCTGAAGATGACGCGCCCTATCGATTCACCTATTTCAACGAAGAGTTCCAAAGTACTATCCATAGCCAGACGATTTCCGAACTGGTCCAGGCAGGTGGCAATTTCCGAGAACTTTTCATCCCGGACCCACCAGAGCTGAGCGATAGCTCAGAATCGGACGATGAAGAGGAAGTTGGCCCTGGGGACGCGAGCTATATACATCATGTAGGTGGGACGAATGGAGATTCAAAGCCTCCAACACGTCACGGTTCTTTGATTGGTCAACCTCGACCAGAGTCCCGACCAGGGACCTCTGTAGCAGGATCTGAAGTGAAAGTTCCATCAAATGAAACTTCGGGTGAGGAGGCTACCCCCAACAACGGAATCAAGTCTCCTACCACGTTGAAATCGCCAAACATTGCGTCACAATTGGCGGCGAAGCCGAAAAGGTACGGAGAGCGTCCAACTTGGTGGTTGGATGTTTTATCTCCAACTGATGCTGAGATGAAAGTTCTCTCCAAGACTTTCGGAATTCATCCTTTGACTGCAGAAGATATCATGCTGCAAGAAGCTCGAGAGAAGGTCGAGCTGTTCCGAAACTATTATTTCGTCAACTACCGTACTTTTGAGCAGGATATGAATAACGAGGACTTCCTGGAGCCGGTCAATATGTATGTGGTGGTTTTCAGGGAAGGGGTTCTCAGCTTCCACTTTTCGATGACACCACATCCTGCCAATGTTCGAAGACGAATTCGGCAATTGAAGGACTACCTAATCTTGTCATCTGACTGGATATCTTACGCCATTATCGACGATATAACAGATGTCTTTGCACCCCTTATTCAAAGCATCGAAGACGAAGTCGACGATATCGATGATGCTATCTTGAAGCTACACGCTCCACCCACCGCGGACGATAAATCTAACAAGGATAACGAAAAACGCTCTGAGTTCGGAGATGGAACGTCAGGTGAGAGTGGCGGCGATATGTTGCGTCGAGTCGGCGATTGCAGAAAGAAAGTTATGGGATTGTATCGTCTACTCGGCAATAAAGCAGATGTAATCAAAGGCTTTGCAAAGCGGTGTAACGAGCGATGGGAAGTTGCGCCAAGGAGCGAGATTGGGTTGTATTTGGGCGATATCCAAGACCACATCGTAACGATGACGGGGAACTTGTCCCATTACGAGAAGTCAGTTTCCCTCTCCACTTACCATCCCCCCCTCTCCCAGATACTAACGCTTGACGTAGGATCCTCGCCCGCTCCCATGGCAACTACTTAGCACAAATCAACATCCGCATGAACGAGCGACAAGAGCAGACCGCGGACGTACTCGGCAAACTAACCGTCCTCGGTACCATCGTGCTTCCTATGAATATCATCACGGGACTGTGGGGAATGAATGTTTGGGTCCCGGGACAGGAGTATGAGGGGGATTTGACGTGGTTTTGGTGCTTGGCTGCGGGATTGCTCGCGTTCGGGTTTAGTTGCTTTTATATTGCGAAGAAGGTTTATGGTATTGTTTGAAGGAGGTGAAAGAGGGCTGTACATATGGTTGGGATGGGAGATGGGAGCAGGGGTTGTATATACAGATTGTTACGATGCATGGATGGAAGACTGTAGATTGGATACACGGGACATAAGATAGCCCCGGTTTGAATATGAGGGCAGTACATAAAAATTTAGTAATGATGAGAATGTTGGATACGGTACTAATTTTATATGCACGGGTACAGGCAGCGAGATGGAGAGGAGCAACAAAATTATATTCACTTGCATCTAGTAAGATAAACAAGAAATGGATGCGAAGTCCCGCAATTGCTCGAGCCCAATTAATGTTTCCAAACTCTCTCGTTCGGGTCCAGCTTATGCCAGCATGGCCATGCGAAGAGCCGCGATCCGGTCTTACCTTTCATCGTAATCTCAATCGAGACTTCGGACACAGGTGTTTTATTCCTCACCCACTGAGTAGAGACCTTCCGCCTCTTGGTACCCGAACGTCGAATAGTACTCAGAGTTACTGTACTCTTCTCCTTCTGAGATGTAACTTACATGCTCAAAGTCCTCGTCATTTTCATAATCACCATCGCATAATTCTTCTCTGTACATAACGGGCAAGTGCTATGCTCGTGAAACCAGCGCTTAATACATTTCTCACCGAAGACATGACCACACAGTAGCTTGCAAGGGTCATGCGCAAGGCCGTATGGTTCCAGGCATATTGTAAGATCTTACAAGTGGGGTCGATGGGATTGTAGATGGGGGTTAGGAAGTAAGGTGTTGTTTCATTAGAGGGAGGCAACGGACGAGGGTCATCATTCTGCATCTCCGTCTCGTCACCGTCTGAGGACAGTGTATGCAATATGTGCAGGGAATTGGTGAGGTCATGAGAGGGAAACCAGGAGAGCAACTCGTTGGAGGAAAAGGATCCTTCATCAGGCGAATAGGACAACGTATTTGAACCACTTGGATATCCTGGGTAGACAGCCTCCCGCTCCTCGGCCTCCATGTCATCGGTGTCTTGGGAGTCGGACAGAGCTCTCTGGTAGTTTTGATTCTGATATGGCCGCTGAGTTTCGGGAGACTCATCAGCGCCTGAGGCCTCCTTGTTCTCAAATTCTTCTCTATAAGCAATCTGTCTCTTGCTATCACGCTCCTCGTGGTGGGTAAGGTCCTCCTGCCTGGCGTCATCTCGTCCTTGCATAACTTCAACTTGGCCGTCGCGGTCAGCTTGTTGATATGATGGCGAGGCGTGACCCTCGCTGTTCAGCGACTGTGGAGTTCTGTTTGAACGGGTAGTTTGGCCTGTGAGTCGACAAGCCGTGTTGATGGCGACCTTTGGATTCTTGGCAGAGGAGTGTCCTGTAATATTTGATCGTCGTGTTATTAATACGTCGAGTGAAAATCGAGGCTAAAGTTTTCCTTGATTGTGGATATACATAGTTCGAATTGTGTCAGAGACCATAGTTCAAACTGCCTTCAGGCATTCCGATCGCCAGACTTGTGACGTAAATCGGGGCTGTTCTTCCTATCCTGTCATTTACTTTGATTAGCCTTTGCTGTAATTGATTTCCGCATACAAAGGCTTCCAAATTGTGTATACTTTTGAACTACAAAGAGTGTTCAGGCAACGGAAAGCTTCAATTACGTACTGTATTTGGGTTGTCTATTGTCCTTGCGCTTCCCGCCTTTGTCTTATTGTTCCAGAACAAAAGGCAATTGTTGACTTGCCGTTAGTACGGAGCTGTGGCTTGATCACTAGGTTATCGGCACAGATGTGGCGCTGGAATTCAGGGATTATTCTTGCCAGATTTGCTGATTGTTCCGAAAGGAAATTGTTGAGGACGGTTAACCTTTTGTTAGCTTTAGCACCCCAGCCAGCCCTGGAGAAGCACCCTTAAAGCTCAAGCGAGCCCAGCAGTTTCTCATTGTGATTAAGCCTTACAGAGGCACTATAGGCTCTGAACGTTGTGTCCTCCTTGGAAAGTTCCTGAACGTTCATACACACTCCGCAACAGAAATAAAAGGACGAAATGACTTTAATCACGTGAATACATTCTTCTCCTCTCCCCATTTGCCAAGTTTCCAGGAGGTTCAATGCACTGTTCGCTCGTCAAGAACTTTGTTAATTAATCGACGTTGAAACTCAATTTTCTTCGGTCTCAAATCAAGCTTTCTTCGCGCACTTCCCGTCCTAGCTTACCTGTGGTTCACAACATTCTAATTTCACGTGGATTAACCCTCACTCCATATTCAGCTAGTTCAGACCATTTTTCAAAAATGGCGAGTAGATATACAGTTGATTTGGTAACTATTCAAAGTCCGTTAATTTATATGAAACAGAAAAACCAATTATTCTCTGTCACGTTGCATCTTTGGAACAGTATTGGCTTAAACTGATTGCATTGCATTGGTTGGAAGCAAATATGGATAGCTAAGAATAAAAGGAAGTCTCACTGATTCTTAGTGTGAGGCTGTTGTCTCTTTCTTTCGCACCCAACAGCATGAGGGTAGGCATGTACCCGAGACATGCAGAATATCAAGCCTCGGTCCTCACCGTTCATTCACTCCCTCGGAGGGCCTGACTTCGTAGGTGAAACCCTGGTTCGGGTGGTAAAACCCTTTGAGAAATGAGTCCCTGAAATAGTGTAGAGCTCATGACTTCTCTATGTCTCGAAACCCGGGTCTTCTCCGTATGCCTTTCGCTGCTTTTCATCACGCTTCTTACGAAGCTCAAGATCTGTTTGCTTATCGCTGCCTCGGTGCACATCTTTGTGGTGTTTGCGAACCTGGTTCCCTGCTTTTCCAAGTTTGGACCAGCCCTGCTCCGCCTTTTCCGCAGCTCGAATGACCTTGTCGAAGCGTTTGTAGGTATTTGAAGGCATCGTGGTCTGGTGTTTTTGAGTTGAACCGAGGAAGTTATTGTATAAACCAGTTTCCTTGGTACTGAAATATGCAAAATACTCTGGGGATAAGGACTGGTGAAGTTTGTGTGGACAGTCTGGGTGTTGATGTTTGATATGATTTGGATATCAAGGAGGGTTGGGACTTGGACAAGAAATTTCTCTGAGCTTAAAGGCGATCTTGGATTGTTCTTCCAATTGAACAAAGTATCATTCTTTGGCGCTCGTCTATGCAGCGTCCGTGGCGAATTCGGGCCACACGGAGCGGTTAGCGGTTGGGTGGGAAAAGGGAGGACCATTGCGACATCGAACAAAGAATTCAGGGGCAGGCAGTAGGCTGGCTTAGCATCCTTCATGTCAGCTTCCGAGCACACGGGGGTTCAGGCTTTCATTGTGATCTCAGCACTGTTCAGAGTAATGAATTTTCTTCTTGTTTCATGTTTCATACCCGCGGATTAATAGGAAGGAGTAACAGGACTGTAGCTGCTGCTTTCGGGAGTCTGCGCAGAAATGTACGAGCATGTTCAGTGGGGAAAGGGCGGGCACCTCTGCGAAACCGTATATCATCTCGGTTTATGGAGTTATGAGCATTATGCCAGAAAGTGTTCCAAAGAATGGGCTTTTTTGGTGTGGGGCGTCGTTCTATCCCGCAGTGTGGTTTACGGTATGCTTTTACAATGAATAATACCACTGTATCATCCTTTTGTGCTATTCAATATTCATGTCTCAAACCGAATTTGACTCGGATTCATACTCTACATCGAATTTTATTGTTCGACCTGATTCATTTGATGGACCAGTTACTCCAATTAGTAAGTCACCCAATAGAACGCCTTTCTCAGCTACCAACCTCTGCGGCCCCGCCTCCATGGGTTCCTGAATGCCCAAAATGACCTTTCCATGCCCCTCCACAAGGCGCAAACTCCCGACTTCGAACCTCCCTAAACTGGCATCTAGAGAACTGTTCTTGGAATCCAGTATACCCTCGCAAGCTTTTGACAAATCTCCCACTCTCTCCTTGGGAACGTAAATCTTCAATCCCGCAATACCGTAAGCCCCGCTCGGATGAGAAGTACTCTCCTTCGAGAACGGAACCCTCAAGCCTCGAGCCGTAACATCGTGACAGAAAAACGGTGTTTCTCCTCTCTTTGTTGGTGGTTCCGGAACCGTGACTTTCCATTTCAACACTTGTGCATCCTCCTTCGTTCTGCCTCCAACAGCAGGTGGCTCATATTTCAGCCCCAAGGCAGCCTTCTCAAGTCTACTTTTCAGAACTTCATAATTATCGTCTGCATCTCCTTGGCTACTGAGCGCGAAATCAATGACCCCCACCTCTTTATCACCCCAGCGATGTCCGACTCGGTGCTTCGGGTCATCGTCGACGAAGGCGATCAGCTCAAGATACGAGCCGTCTTGGAAGACAACGAGTTTGTTTTCCGTTTGACCGCCGGCATGGCGACCTCCTGGTATGATTGTAAAGTTGTCTGTCAGCCATTTGGGGGGACTGAGGACGGCTTTGTGTGGGAGGAGGATGACGATGTGGTCGAGATAGACGGGGGTCATTGTCGGCTAGCAGATAAAAAAGACGTTGATAAGTCGGCAGAAACCAGGGAGAGCTACTATTTGTATGAGATTATATATGAAGATGAGGCTTTATTGAACTCGCGGTAGGAACTGGTGCCTCAAACGCGATCGATGACGTGATAGGTGCATGATGTGAACATTGCTGGCAAAGGTGGGGTAATTGAGCGCTGTCCATAAAAGCTGACATTGTAGCAGTACTTACGTGTCTTATGCGATAGCCGCCCTGCTACTACCAAACTCCTCCTTTCACTTGATCTTTATCATTTCACGGCGAGCAAGAAAGGAGCCATTATCAGGGCCCAATTTCTTGTTTGCAGGTTCAGAAATCCGCTCGGGAGGCCATTAACATTGATTCAAGTCCACGTGAACGAAGGAATAGTATCGCATAATTGCCGAACTTCCAAAAAGCCTGCATTGAAGCCAAATTGTAGCCGGGCTTGGTTGCTGCGTTCCTGATCTCCCGAATTACCTATCTTTAAAGGAGTGCTCGCTTAACCCCTATCCCGCTAAGCGGGGGCGGCAGAATGTCAAACTCCCCTCTTTTCCTCGCCACATTCCCCAAAGTCACCCAATATCCAACGCCCTAAGCTGCAGCCGACTTTCTCGGCCTTCCCCTTCCCCTTCCCTTCAGCGTAGGTGTCGCATTATAAAGATCCTCCTTCACCCCATTATCTTCATCGGCCTTGACCCCAGGCTCTTCCGATCCAGCGTCCACAAAGATCGTAGATCCATTCGGCCCCTCCACAAGAGAACCGTCTAAGTTCTTCTCCCACGCATTAAGCTCACCCCACGGAGTGGGAGCGCTCGTCTTCGGCCGTTTGATAACTGGTGCATCGCTGTTGCTGTTTCGTCGTTTCTGGGAGACGGATGAGGATGTGGAAAGCCCTCCGGGCTTTTGGAAAGATGCTCTCTGTCGTCTGTTAAGGTTCTCCACGGATTCGGTCCTTTGTGTCCTCAATACTTTCACGTTGTGCCGATCAAATAAGGCATAGACAGCATTGAAAGCCCGGGTAATCTCTTCATGAGTTTCCACTGGCATTAGTGGAAATGAGGTCTTGATTTGTAAGGTCAATTTCACAATGTATTCTTTGAGCTGTCGAAACTCGGCCTTGGTTTTGTAGTTTTTACCGAACATGCGGTCCGTTCCCGTTTGTTTCACAACAAGTGCCGCTAGCCTACTAGCCTCGGAGGCAGAAAAATTGACTGCACTTGGACTGGCAACGTTCAGGTCTAGCCACTGTTTTGTCGCGAGCTCGAGGATATTTAGTCGAGTAAACGCTGCGGACTGGAGATTCTGATCGGCTTTGGGACCTTTCTCTTGCGTCTTTGACAAGGCAGTCTGGAGGGCTTTGTAGTTCTCGTGCTTGAAGTCTATCAGCTGCAAGACAGCCCATTCCATCCGGAGGTTAGGCTGATTGTCGTTATTTTCAAAACATCTCAGAATCTGATCGACCCGGTCTTGGAGAGTCGTCTCATCCAGTTCAATTTTCTTGTCCCTGAGTAGTTGCTCTCCCCACCTGGTTTCCGCCACTTCTTTGGCAATCCTAATCCTCGTCTCTTCCGGCTCATCCAACCAGGTTGCAACAGGCACAGTATCTCGACCGATGAGTTTGTACTGACCAAGGTAAGCATTCTGATCGGTGCCCATCTTCAAAATGATTGGATAACAGGACCCAATTGTTCCATTATCTGACTTGCCCTGTACCAACATCAGAGCACCGTGAACGCCAAGTCTAGGTGCATATCGGTGGAGTTCCGCGTTGACGCGGATGATCGTCCGCCATGGTACGATTTGATTCTCCCTATCAGGGCTGATCTTGGAGAACGTGTATTCGCGACCGCCGATATGTTGTTGTATGAATTTTGAAGAGAAAGTCTGCAATCCAGACGGAAGATGTATCCTGGGTGGGGGAGGCAAGGCTTTGAGAGTATCCTCAACATTGCGTTCTTTTGGGGGTTGAAAACCATTGGTCTTCACTACTGGATTCGGTTTGGAGGGAGTTGCCTTTGCCGGCTGCAGAGATTCATGGGGGGTCTTCCTCACACCTTGGACGTTTCCAGCAGGAGTTGAATAGTCCTGCCTAGAGGTCTGTATTGATGAAACATATGGAGCTAGAGAATTCTTCATCGGCGTACGATTCTGGGCTGATATTTTGATCGACGTTGTTGTATCGCTTGAAGATTGTTGAACAGAAGGCTGAGGTGTCATTGATGATTCCAGTGAGGCGGCGTGGCCTGTGGATTCATTCGTTGTTCGGATTTGATCGAGAACATTCCGAATATCTGCATTGGTCACAATGCGACTCATCGGGGCCCTTGGAAGGTTATGGCAACGGCGGTCGATCTCTTCGGTCAACAATTGAGATGCTCTAGCAGCATTCACTTCTTTGCTCAATTTGGCGAGAAGATACAACGTCTTGTCGCCTGCTGTGTGGCCTTCTGGAAGCATGTACGATGGTAAAGCGCGCTGTGGCACGTCGACCCAGTTTTGATGGATCGTCTTAAGTTCGCGAACGTGTCCGAGTAAGCATCATCGTCTAATGTTTGGATGGGAGTACAAAAACCTTTCTATTAGTATCCAACTCATTGTGATTTTGAACGAGGCTGTTGATCCTGTCTTCTGGCCCCAATGCTAGTTCTTTGTACGCCATGTCCCTGCCTTCTTGTAAGCTTGCCTCTCGGGCAGATTTGAGCTCGTCGTCATGAGTCCGCTTCAATACTTTTAAGTCCAATTTCTGGGGCTCATTGATGTTTTGACCAGAATATGTTTTGCGTCCGGCATCGTATCCGAGCTGGTAGGAATCATTTTTGACTTTGTCGAGCTGATCGAGGTAGTTTCGTTGCAGAGCAAGTCGTTCTCCTTCGTTGACAGCATGGAGATCCTTGATTGCCTTATCCTTCCCAGCAAGCTCACCTTCGCGCCTTGCGTTGGCAAGCCGTACGCTCAACTCCTCTGAATGCTTTTTCGCAAGGTCTTTCAAGGCGTTGATTTGCATCTGACAACCCGAAATCTTCGCCACAGCATCATGTTTGGCTCCCTGCTCTGTGTGTAATTGCCTTTTCAATTCATCGGCCTCTTTCTTGAGTTTATTCACCTTAATCTCGTGCTTCGATTTGAGTGTATGTTCCAACTCTTGGATTTGTTTCGTTCGAACCATGTCTAACATTGTATCAACCATGCGAGAGTGGAGTGCAGAGAGCCCTTTGACTAGCCCATGCACATTCTTCGCTTGCTCGCATGTGCTCCCTACTTCCTCTTTAATTGTTCGTTCTGTTTCACCTACTGCCACCGACTGCGCGTCGTCGTTTTTAGTTGGACTGGCTTCCTCAAGTTGAGATCGATTTCCGTTTTCGCCTTGACTTGAGACTTCACTGGGGCCATTTGGCGGCAAGTCTTCATGTCGAGTAGCGTCTTCAATCTCCTGATCAGAATGATGACATGAATCATCCACTTCCTCTTCGGCTAGAGCTCCCGTATCTCGTTGCTGTCTCATAGCTGCTGCAATTCAGACATGAATTAGCTAATGGAAAGTAAGAGGCATGAAGTGATGCTTGACCGTACCCTGTTCAGCCGAACCATGTTCAACAACGACCACGGTCAGATAGCCTTTGTCTAGAGCATTATTGCAACATCGAATTTGCTCAGCAGTCCACCTTGAGATGCCACCTTTAGTATCAGGGAAAGCAAGGTATTCTTGACTGAATCGCCAATTGTAGAGATTCGGTGGCTCGGGGTCGGAGTTTCGAGGGTCGATGGCTTTGAGCGAGCACTGAACTAATCGCCGACCTACCGCAGTTTCTAGGTGGAAACAAATCAGCCAAGGCAGACAGAATGATGCAGTCCAAGCTGGAAATGTGCAAAATCTTTCGAGTGATTGAGATTACTGCCCATAGCAAACTGGTGTGTGAACCACATGTTCTGATTCAATAGTCTGTGGAGGAGCAATGCGCGTACCAATGGTTTGTACGAGCCGTTCCTTAAGTCTGTCCGGGGCTCTGTATCTCTTCTGGGATGCCTTCGAAGAATTCAGCCCGGAGACATTAAGAGCGTTAACAAATTTAGCGGCTGCAATTTCTTTGTCATTGACCGCTTCGACCAAAACGTCCCCGTCTCTGAGCTGTTGGAGCAAACGTTCTAGTTGAGGATCCGACCAATCCCGAATATCCAAGTACCTGTCTGGATCCAAGTGATATACTTCGGTACCGAAAGTCCATCTCAACCAGCATTTGCCCTCTAGGAGCCAGTTTTGAGGAATATTTTGCGATACTGCATGGTTGAAGTGAGCTGTTGTTAGATCAATGAACGCTCTTTCCTCACCTTCTCTTGCTAACTCTCTCAACTGCTTTTGGTTCCAAGAAAGTAGCCTCGATCTCGTCGTAAAATTTAGCCCTGCGTCTGACATCTCATCTTCAGTCTCGGCCATGCTTACTTATACTGAGCCAATGGCGTCTCGGAGTCCTCGGCTTGACCCAATTTCGGTTCAACAAGATCCTTGATCGGCCGACCCTAGGTTTCCATAGTGCGTCCGCAGCAGATGTGGCTTGAGAGGCTGCAGATTGAAACGAAATCAGATTCTTTACCTCTAACAACCTGCTAAGCTTTGTTTGTTGTGTTTGTGTGAGTGGATGGTTGAGGTGGACGCGACGTGTTGTTCGAGGACACGACATCTCGCGTTGACCCGAATGTGGTGTAACCTTAATATATTATGTCAGCACCGCCTGCTAGCCTACGAAGGGGTTTAAATGTTAATTGATACCTGATACAGGGTTCCCACCGGCGAACCAGCTAGAATTACAGGGTGGTCCCACCAATTATAACAGCTATCATAATAGCTAATTACCGTGAGTCTCCTGTTTCTCACGCCGTTAGAAGATAAGTCCTCTCTCTTGCTCTTCTCTCTATTTACTCACAATAAAAACATCAATTTTCGTCCCTACATCAAAGACATCGAGTAAAGCAACGGGCAGAGACAACCACCTATGTATTCAAACCCTTTACTACACAGCTGGCTGGAAAGTGGGCGATATCCTCCTCTGGAATCCACGCGTCAATGGCGGGCAAGTTACCTACGCTCTACGGTCTTTCCTAACGCCTCAAAAACAATAGTGCAGGCCTCATCTACTTCTTACCACCCTTTATTGCAAACGCTTAAACTACTAGGATACCTTTAACTCTGTCTCCCGCCATATTAAAAGAAAGGAGCTACTAAAATCGCTTGGCTAGAGCTTTGAGAAGTACCCTGTTTGTATAATCTTTTAGAAGGATGGCTATACATAAGGCGTGAGGAAAGGGAAGCAAGTCACTAATCTCTCTTGAGAATTAGATACTCCAGCTTGTGTAGGCAAAAGAGTATAACCACTAGACGGACGAGTAGTGGGACGAGATATGTTAGAACTATGAGAACTGGGTATAACTAGGCTACTATAGAAGGCAGTGGTATACAAAGAAGATCGATCTATTGTCGCAAGGATCAAGGGAACGGTCACGTGGCTGGTCACATGTACCTAACTAGGCTGCGAGTTAGCAAGTGCTTCTCTCTTCTCTCCTCTCTTCTCTCCTTACTTATCGTGTCCTTAGTCCTCGAGTTTATACTATAGTTTTGTGTCACCATCCCCATCCATAGTACTGATTGGAACGGGGATATTAAACCAGGAGCAATATATGGGCTTCCATATCGTAGGATCAGAGGTGTACGAGTGAGACGCGGAAAGAGTGAAGGTTGGTTGATTTCTAAGAAGAGAGAAGGAGAGCGGGGTAATATATATACGGACTGAACGCTGAATCATGTGGGTGTGTTTTCTGCAGTGGATCTCGTGAAGGCCTAGAATGCAAAGAAGCTCCGGCCAGCGTAATGAGTGCTTGCTTCGCAGCATCTGCCTCAGTAGCTTTCTCAGAAATTGTCTCTCCAGAGCTTAACTTCTCTCCCGTGGCCAGTTGTCTCTAGCTTCTGCTTCCAGTTGCTTACCTTGGTCATCCCGAGCGATCCAAGGATGTATTCCATTCCCGATTTCAGGTTTGGGTCTTGGTGATTTCCAGATGCTGCTGCTGCGCGGTCACCCAGAGTCTATTCGAGCGTTCTGCTCAGTATTTGTGGCGCGAGGATCCTCCTCGCGTTGTTTTGAACCCTTCAGTTCCTGGGTCAATTCTTTCCATCACTGGGGCTCGGTCTTTGAGCTATAGAGCGAGGTCATCCGGACCAGATCAGACGGGGCTTGCCTGGGCAATAGGCCTAAAGCCTCCATTACTAGCTTCATTGCTCGTATCCTCAGCCGGAGAATTTTCTGGGCTGCCAAGAGCAGCTGATTGAGTGTGGCCACTCACCCGAGGTTCAGGACTAGAACCGCTTCTCTCCGAGCCCACACCATCGAAAGGCTCACGAACTAAAGTCTTCTTTGCTAGAGCCTCCAGTGCGCAGTTCAACTGATCAATGATCAATTGCCAGAAAGAGTTCTTCTCAGGGAATTGGCGAAATGTGCCGTGGGAAAGGAACCGTCGTCTCCGGCCGGGCAGCCCTTCTGACCCATCATCAGTAAAGCTAACTTGAATCTGAAAACCAAGAGCCCCGTAGTTTCAACTGCCATCAATCTGTCCACGATTCTAGTAATTGGTTATCTCGTCACTCATCAATGTAGTGAGTCAAAGCTGCCTCCGTTTTACTGACAAGCTGCCTCCTTCCACCCAAAGGATGCTTTCTCTAGATAGCTCGGCGGTATTCTCAATAAATTGTTTCCGGCGGTCTACAGCCATAGCATTTTGGACTTCTCTATTCGAGCTGGATGCTGGTTCGCTTCTGGTTTGTTTATGATGTTTAGACGTTCTCGGCTTTTTGTCCCTTGATATCCACAACATAGAGTGCTCGCTTTCAACAGTGTTATTGCACGCACTCCTTGATCTGGGTAAGAGACCAATTTGAAATGGATCTTGGTGGGAAGGCAGGGTACTCTGGACGGAGCTGCCACTGATAATAGTTTGGTGCATCCGGGCCAAATCTCAATACATCTACGCATAGAGCGTTATGGCGGCGATGAATGTCTCAGTCCAAAGCATTCTCTGGAGGGTTGTAAGATGAGTTCACGTGACATTTTGAACCATTACGGTTCTGGAGGAGAGGAATATCTTACCAATGGTCTTCTGCGGCTTGTCTCGTAGCGAGTGCCCTGATATCCTCGTGTGATGCTTATGGCTCATATCATGAGGCTTTCGCTGGAATAATGCGTCGGTATCTTCAAAGTCCTTTGGGTGGGCTGGAGGGGCAGACCCTTTGGCGGCCCTGGAGAGTCGGGCATCTTTGAAGCCCTGCCTTTAGGGCTCTCATATAGAACAATGTGATGTAAATAAAATGGCCGTGGAGTTGAGGCTCGTCAAGTGTATTGGATGTGTTGAGGTTGCGAAAAGAGAGGAAGTTCGCCTCAGGTAGTCAAAGCTAGAACTACCCGGCGGTCTTGTCCCGGCAAGCGCGACACGCCCAAGCTTTGTCTTGAACCCCGCGTCGAAACCCCCTCTTCACCACAACAATTCTCCAAAACAACAATCTCTGATCCATAATCCACAGATGGCACCCCCAAGCCCCCTCGCAATCGCAACCGGCTCAGTCCAACGTCTAGTCAAAGAAGAAACATCCTATCACAAAGAGCTCAAGAACCAGGAGGCGCGGCTCGAGAAGCTGGTCAACAGCACGGAGGAGAATGAGAACAAGGAGTATCAGTTGAAGCAGGAGGTATGTCACTCCTCCAGCGACCTTACCCTGCCCTATATTTTTCACAATTGGAGTAAAGGAATGGTTGAGCTAATAGGATGCTTTGGTATAGAGAGCAGCAATCGAAGAAACGAAAGCCGTTTTCCCACCCCTCCGCCAACGCATCACGGACGCCCTGGCGAAACTTGAGGAGAAGCTTGAAGCGGGACAGGCTAGTGGTGCGAGTGAGGAGGAAGTGAAGAAGGCGCAGGAGGTGATTACGTTGGCTAAGGAGGCTACGAAGGAGAAGTGAAGATTCAAGATAGTGGAAGTAGGACGTGGGCTCGTAGTGAACTGTGGAGATGATACCCTGGGGTGCGAACGAGTCAAAATGACTTGATATACATGGCGGCATGGTGTTCACAGGCTTGGTGACCAAATTGAGGGTATCATATCGTTTATTGGTACAATGGTACATAGACTTATGGCCGACCATGGATCTATGTGGTGTCCATTTTTTCCTCCACTATAGGCTCGCCCCCTTCAATGAGAGCTACTTGATCCTCAGCAGGCTCCTCAATTGTGACCCTTGGAGTCTCTCCTTCTATTTGAGACTCGGTGACTTCTGCCATTGGTGTGTCTCCCGCAGTATTCGCATCCACCTCCATGCTAGAATCTTCCGCAGCTTCCTCTCTGCGTCGTTCTGAGACATCAGGTGAAGGTGCTCGACTCGTGGCTCTGCTCCCTGGCCGAGACAAAGTACCCGAAACCTGCGGTCTAGGCTTCAATCCCCTCTCTGGACTATTTTGCGAAGGTCCATCAGGTCCCGGTGTCGCATTACCGCTCATACTACTATGCTTCGGCGTCTGACCCCCTCTGCTCCCCTCACCTACCTCCCCATCCTCATCCCCACCATCCATACCCTCCCTCCGCTCCACCTCCTCCTTCTCATCCCTAATCAACCTCCTCAGCTGCATCCCCTCTTCCACAATTCTCCCAAACTGCTCCCTCCTCTCCTTCCACGTCTCCCCATACGCCTGACTCTCCCTCTCCAGCTCCCTACAGTCCTCCTCCAACTTCTGCAGCTGAGCCTCCTGGTCCTCTCTCGGTCTCAGCATCTTATTCGCATAGATCTTCTCCGTCAACTCGTCGAACTTCTTCCTCTGCTCTAAAGTCTTCTTCGAATCCTCAAGCTGGATCCTTAGCAGCGCAGTGTTATCTTTGACATCTTGAGCAGTTTCTAGGATACGTTGCTTGTCTGCTTTGTATCGTTCGCGTTCGCGCTCGTTGCTGTTTCGTAGGAACTGGATGCGCGCGATGCTGCTGTCGAAGGCTGCGAAATCGAGGAGGATGTCTTCGCGGAATTGGCGTCTGTCTTCAAGTTGCTTTTGATGTTCGGCATCTTGTATAGCGGCTGCTTCATCCGCGTTGTCAGGTGGAGGAGTGGGAAGTTTGCTGGGTGTTGTGAGGAGGGAGCCAGGTGTGAGGAGGCGTTTGGCGACGCGGTTGAAGGGTTTCGTTTCTACGTTCAGGAGGCGGGTCTTGTGGAGTTCTTCCTCATCGCGTTGCTCGAGAAACTGGAATGAGGCCATTGCGACAGGTTTCACCCGTCTTGGAGAAGAAGAGAGGGTTGACCGTTTGATGGTTCAGAAATTGAGTTCGGAAGGCTTCTCGAGAATGGAAGCGGCCGCTTGCGTGCCGCCCAGTCCAAATGCGCAGGCTGGGTCTGGACTTCACATTTGAGCTCTCTTTGTTGAAGTCATTTACTTTCAATTCACTTTCGCCGATTCAATGATATCGCTATATATACAAATTTTGGTTTTGCAATGATCAAACCTCCTACAAATTTTTCGTATCACGACTCCCTTCAATTCCTGCAATAACCCACACCTCGCCGGAACGACGCCTTAGCGCTGCTCAACCAGCCCCGTCCGTCTCCAACCTCAGGACAGCGACAAGGACTTATTGAGCATAGCAAATCGTTGTTCAACCCTTCCGGCCAGTCCAAAAATCCCCGATTTACCCACCAAGATGCCTTCCATATCACTCATGGATTTGTGCACCAAGGCCTGCATCAAGAACATTCGCAGTATGCACCCTGCCTTCCTTTTGAACTCCCAACTAATCCCACCACTGGCCTGACAGATGTTGGCTCTTTCGAGTACTGGAAAATCCGTCCCGTCCTCCAACGCATCGAGTCCCCCGAACAACTCCACCAAATCGAGCTTCGCTCTCCGCAAATCTGTGGCGAAGATGCTGAGCTCTGGCGCGCTTTCATCGCTCGAGACATCCCTAACTGGCGAGACAAAAACTATTCTCCTAAGAATCCGTTAGAATGGTATCGGGTCTACCGCAAGTACAAGAAGGAACAGCAGAGGGAAATCGAGCGGGATGAAGAGGCATTGCGGAATAGTATGATGGGCTTGAAGAAGGAGCGAGAGACACATGTTTCGAAGGTCGTGGATTTGAGGACCCTGCCGAAGATTCCTAAGGATCCGAGGATGCTAGCTAATAATGGCGGTGTACCGATTGGGAAGGCGAGGGGCTTTAAGAAGGAGGGCGCGAGCACCTTGATGTGGACGGCCGGGAGCAAGACAAAGTTGACGGATGGGAAGAGTGTTCTTACCAGGGCGAGGAGGGAGGCGAAGGAGATTAGCCAAATGAGCAAGTTGTCGAGACCTACGCATCAGTTGAAGGGGAAGATGGGCCAAGTCATGAGGGCGCCTCCTGGAATGGTTAACGAGTATCAGAAGGCAAGCCAGCCGGTGTTGAGGATATTGTCCAGGAAGCAGAACCCTGTTGGGAAGTTTTCGGGTGGTATTACTGGAATTAGTGGACCATCTCTTGAGGAGAGAGAGGCGCGGTTGCGGGCTTTGACATCCCCACCAAAGAAAGATGCAGGAGGTTTACAGGAGACATTGGTTGGTTCTTCAGAAGACGATGAAGATTACCTCGACGACGCAGACGACTTGTTTGACGAGCACCCTTCATCACGGCCCCTTGCCTCATCCTCGTCACCACCCCGTTCATCGAAACCAACTCCATCTCGATACATCTCTAGCAGCCCAGCATCCTCCGCACGCCCACCACAAGCGACTGCAAGACCGCGACCACAAGCCTCCTCCGCCTCTCCACCACTTACTGCCGCCCGTCCCGCACCCAAGCCATCAGAACTCATCTCCTCAATCATTTCAAAACCAAAGCCGTCAACTCCTTCCGCAGTACCACCATGCATCCACTCCAACCCTCGTTCGCGAACAGGAAGCCCGGCACCCGGGGCACCGAGACCAATGATGCCCCGCAAGAGAGCAGAAGTCGACATCTTCAACCGTGGGGCGAAGAAGCAACGGGTTAGATAATGTATATCGCCCGCCTCATCTCCCTTCTGCTTTCGAAACTTCGCACTTGGCAGCGCGGCGTTGGAAGGAGCGGAAACTGTTTGTAGCATATTTCAGTGGTAGAATGAATTCAAATCAAATCACAGCATAACTATGGTCGGATGCAATGTGAGAGGAGAAGGGGGAAGTATGCCGCGTAGCATTATTGTCTAGCTGCCGCTACCATAACAGCACCCGAAATCAACGTAGCAAAGCAATGGAAACGCCACCCATTTGTAGGATCATTTATGCTCCGTATCGTCGTTATGCTGCAGCGCAAGGCAGGAATTCTCGGTGAATGATAAAGGAATACAAATCCGTCCACTGTCCAGCATCCAGCAAGCAGGCAACCCAACCTCGTATCCTCATATCATCCATCCAGTATGCAGCTCCATAATCCACATCTCATTCCAGGTTCTCAGGATTTATCCGCTCTTGCAAAACCCCTCTATCTCCCAAGATGTGTCCGTATCTAAAAGCCACCCCGCAGCGCAAGAACCAAATGCAGCGTCGCTCCGCCTTCGAGGTTATATTCGCTCGCGGTCTTCTCGTCGGCCCTGTTTGTACCACATTAGCCTCTCGCCCTCGTTGCCCTCTTCTTTCCGTTCCTTTCGTTTCAGCTTCAAATCGCGGGGTAGGCAGCCATTTCCCCTTCCCTCTTCCCCCTTCCCACACCATCTTTCCCCAAACAACACGACGACGCTGGAGTTGGAGGCGACTGAGATGCTTGTAGACCCGCAGAGACAAAATGGAAAAGGGAGGATGTACATCTGCTTCCCCCCAAAGATCAATCTTTGCTGCACAGGCGGAATACCCTCTTTCTCCTCAACTTTCTCCTTGATTTGCGATACCTATATATCCCATCATCAGCGCCCTTTCTCTCTCTGCCCCACTCTCTTGAAGTTGGGGGTGAAAGGAAACGGAGCCATACCCGGTAATCAGGCTCGATGTCGAGCTCGATTTCCTTGCCTGTGAGGGTTCTGACTCTATGTCGACTATCAGCGTTGTCTGTGAAGGGAGGGGGAAAGGGTAAAGGCAAAGAGAAGAGGGCGCACTTGATCAACATCTTGCTTGCTTTCTCGAGGGTGATGGGAAGGTGACGTTGGTTGTGTGATTGAGGTTGTGGTGCAGAATGCTGAAGTTGAAATTGTTAGACATGGAGGGGAAGATACAAGCAGGAACTTGAAGCCTTGCCGTTAGTGCGGCCGGAGCTTTTATTTTCCGCGACAGGGGTTGAGGGCAGAATTGGGCGGTGGATGAGGGGCTGCCCCTGAAATAAGCGATCACCAACACTGAACCAGTCTCTCCTTTGAGATGCATTTAAGACCATAAGCTTTTGGGGAGAATATAATATTTTGTATTTTTGTATTGACTGGTTGCTTGGCCGTCTAGTTTTGACAGCCAAGTGAAAAATATCTGGTTCTGATTTAGGATCTTGACCAAGTGATGGCAGTGCTTACAAGTCCAGTAGATGTCCATAAACCCCAAGCAACACCTCCCTCCATATCTCATTCTCACATCCAACTCTTTTCACCAGCGAATTCCCCACACTTCTCGCCTATTCATTCTCACACCCACTCCACCCCCTAATAATCTCCCTGGCCCTTTTCACAGTTTCCTCATCCCTCGGCTTCCCCGCCGCTCAAACAACACCTTCGCAACGCCAAGACACAACTTCAGTTTATTTATGAGCCGAGGAAACCCAACTTAGCAACCATTGCTGTCTATATTTATTGGCGAAGTGAGACGAGAATAAAAGGGGGCGATGCGCTGACCAATCGTCATTTTGGACCGAGGGTGGGGTGCCGGCAGGGGCAAAGAAAATTTACCTCTCGTCCTTGGCCTCCCTCCCCACTTTCACCATCAGCTTCCTCACCAGTTAAGATGTCAATCCAAGGTGATAGCGCTCATGAGGGACAAGAGTCCACACCACCTCCAAGCCTTTGGAAAGTAGCATGGACGAACAACAAAGGAATATTCCTGATCATCCTTGCCCAAGGAGTCGGATCTACAATGGACGCGATCGTAAGATTTCTGCAACAAGGAGGGCACGGAATGCATCCTTTCCAAGTGAGAAATCCCGGAAATCTCCACAGCTTCTTATCTGATCAGAACTTGATGTGATGCAGGTCATTTTCGCCCGCATGAGCATGACATTTCTCTTGAGCACATTTTACATGTGGTGGGTTAAGGTTCCTGACTTCCCACTCGGGAAGCCAAGTGTCAGAGGGTGGCTTACACTACGTGCGATATGTGGATTCTTTGGACTATTTTGTCTATATTGTAAGGCCTTGTCAACTTCGAGCGACTTCCCTCACTAATCAACGAACTGCAGACTCAGTCCATTATTTGCCACTTGCAGAAGCCACAGTCTTCAGATTCCTGACTCCCATAGTCACTGCTTGGGCGTGTTCTATATTCTTGGGCCTGGTCTTCACAAAGAAAGAACTCGCCGCTGGACTGATCGCCCTGGTTGGTGTGGTATTCATTGCTCATCCAAAGAGCATCTTTGGGCCTGTCGAGGATCATGCTCACGCCATGGAAGCTCGTCCGATCGATGAGGTATCTTCTGCTCAGCGCGTTATTGCTGTTGCAGTAGCCTTGGTTGGTGTAATAGGGCAGTCAGGTGCCTACACCATGATCAGGGTGATCGGAAATGAAGCCCATGCGCTAATTTCTGTCAATTACTTCGCCGTTCTGGCTACTGTTGGGTCTGCTTTGGCTCTTCTTGTCGTCCCTGGCATTGCATTCACGATGCCTCATGGCGTACGGGAGTGGGTCCTTCTTACGCTTTTAGGTATTCTGGGATTCATTCTCCAATTTCTGTTAACTGCTGGGTTGCAGATGGACAAAAGCAGCAAAGCAACGAGCATGTTATACACGGGAATTCTGTTCGCCCTGTCATTTGATTGGGCTATCTGGGGTGTTCTACCCGGCATGTGGAGTTTGTTCGGGGGATTCATCATCATCGCGAGCACTCTGTGGTCAGCGTTACAGAAATCTGAAGGGCTGCCTGTGAAAACCTCCAAAACCGTTGCAGATGAGGAGCGTGCCCTTCTTGGGGCTCAGAGGGAGGACGAAGAAGGAGCAACCCATACGGTCAGATAATTCAGGGAGTACCACGATTAGAGGTTCTAACCCAGCCTGTCTGAACGAAGCTGTCGAGGGGAAAGACTGATGGCCAGGAACGCGCAAAAGAGGCTTGCATTTACTTTGGACTCGTGAAGGTTTCAATGGTCCGAGAGATGGATGAGCCATATGTCGCGAGCACACCCAGAAACGATATGTTGGCGCCTCCTTGATCAATTTAGGTATCTTTCGTGGGCAGTCTTTGCAGTGTCAAGTAGCTGATGCTCATGACAAGGAATATCTCGCTAAAATGCCCATCTTTAGTCCTTTCGTAAGTGGCAGGGTCAAATGTTGGACCAACATCTTTCAAAACGTTTCATTGGCTACCGACTAGGGATGCACGATTTATAATTATTACAATTATATAATAATCAAGTCCCGCGTAATTATATAATAATCAAGTCGCCAATATTATAATGCATAAAATACTGCATAAAAGAGCGTATAAATCGTGCATAATTCGGCACGTGGAAAAGGGTAAATTAGTGGATTTGATTATTGGGGAGGAGCACGAAACCGCGCTAGTCAAATGGAGGCTTCTGATTGGCTATGTCTCATATTCAAGATAATATCACCATAATCAAGTCGGAGTGATTATTTTACGATATTACGTATTCAAGTCCTAAATTATATAATTTTAGCATCCCTACTACCGACACAAGATCCCGCCCCCTGCTTTCTCCCGGCCGAAACTGAAACCCAACTTCCAAGCGCCCAAGCCTGACAGCACCAGAAGCTCCTCAATATTTCCCCATGCGTCTTCATATCTACATTGTGGGTCTATCCTTCTCAATTGTTCTAGCAGCATGTCTTCAGAAGCCTCTGCTTCTGAAACCACGTGTCAACGTGCGGCCCGTCAGCCTGATGGAAAAAGCGATGTCGACAATGAGGACCTCAGCGAACTCCCGTTCCATGTTCAGTCATTCAGAGAGGGTCTCTTGGATTTTATTCATTTCTTGGGATTGCAAGGGACCATATTAGTTGCTGGAGCAGATGATGATGACTTCATTCCGTTATCAGCATGCAAGCCGGATGGTACGACCGAGTCCCAGCGGGCAAGAGAGAAGGAATTCATGGAAGGTGCACAGGATCTCGTGAACGGTGCGAGGAGCGCTGAAAATTGCGGAGAATGGAAGATGCTGATTCAAAAGCGGCTGACTCATGGAATGGAGAGTGCAAACAACTTTGGGTATGTAGCACGAAGGGAGAACTCATGAAGCTCTGCTAATGGAATCCCTGGTAGTTCAACTATGCATACCAGCATTGCATGGTGAGTGTGTCCTGAACATCTGGTATGTGAAAAGCCTATAACACTCAATAGGGCAGAGACCGGCCTTTGGCGTGCCAAACCAGATCCACCTAAAGACCCAAGTCACCAACCTTCGCCAAGTCTGTACTTCGGGTTTCCGATTCGCAAAATCGACGGAGCCGACCAAAAAATAGCCAAAGGCTTCCAAAAGGACTCATCATTTAACAATTACACTCTGACAAATTTTGCTAAGCTCACAATGAACGGTCTTCAGTGTGTTCCGTTCGCTCGACTTCCACTTGTTGCGGGGGATCCATTAGTGTGCTTTCCTTGGGCTATAGTCCAAGTACTTGGCACGTTTACCTCCGACAAGCCAAACGATGCTTCCTTTACAGACACGGTTTCTGAGGCCTCTGCCGCTGCATCAATAGCACTCTCGATGTTCGAAAGGTTGGCAAAATTCGCGGATGAGAAGCAAGATGGTCAACACATCCCACCTGTTGTCGTCATCACGTCGGTTGGAGCAAAGACGATAGTGTGGCTTGCTTACTGCGAGATTGTCGATGATCGACTGCGAGACCATGTGAGAACTCTCCTTTTATCTTTCTTGCAATCAGTCTAACGCGCGTCAAGAAAATGATAAGAATTTGGGAGGGCAACATCACCAAGATCTGGGATGCAGTTCAATTCTGCCGTATCATAGACAATCTCTTTTTCTGGGCTCAGCATTGTTTGAAGCCCATGGTGACGCAGTATCTAAATCAATGGAGGTGTCGTTATTGCCCCAACGTCCCGAACATGCAGTCCCAACTCGAAAAGAATTCAAATACCGCGGAGCTGGTCCATCGGATTCAAGATCGCTTGAGCTCCTTGGGAATATCCCCGGGCGGAGATCTACCAGCACTCATTCAGCAAGCTGTGGTGCTCCAGGAAGTAATGAGATCGAGCGACAAAGAGCCAAAAGTGGACTCAACATTGAAAGACGAAAAGGAGCTTTCTGAAACTGCTACAGAAACACATCCCAAGGACAGCAATTTTAATTCCAAGTCATCTCGTTTACCGAATGCTCGAGAAGGTAAAGGAGATGACTTGGAATTAAAATTGCTGTCCTTGGGATTTGTACCCGAACAACTGTTATCAGGAAAGTGCGTCGAGGCCAACATTCCCCTTGTCAGCGATCTCGAGCATTATGACCTTCACCCCGACAAAGCTGAGAGAGGTAGTGCCGAGCCTTCTGTGCTGTGTAATAAGAACACACTTCAACCCAAGTTACCTCTCAAGCATGAAACGTCTGTAATCGTCGTCCCGATCAAGGACAAAGAATCTGACCGTCAGAATTCAAAAGTACCTGAGGGTACAAAAGGTACGCACCGGCTCCACCAACCGTCTGCTCTCCCCCACTCATATCACCACCAGCTACCTCTGCCAATCTCACTTTTGATGAGCCTGTTTCGATCTCCGAATCACTTGTTCTTTCAGCTGCGGATGAGAACTGCGGGAACAATTCTTCATTATCCAACCCACCTCAGCCAGCCAAGGGAAAATTTCTAGGTTCTGATGTGAGAGAGAACTCATTACTTGATCCATCGAAAGACTTGGGCCACACCAGTCCCAACCTTGTACAAAGAACCCTTTTCTCCATGGCTTCAAGTGTAGTGAATGGGCATGTACTGTCCTTAAAGAAACAGCGACAACGAAAAAGCGACCTCAAAGTTGAAGAGAAACAGAAGCTCAACATAAACCTTTGGTCACCTTCGGACAACTCAATATCAACTAAGGCCTTAGGCAAGCGATCCAATGCTATTGGTCCACCCTCAGCTCCGTCCAGCCCCTTTGTCTCAGAAACTTTTAGGCTGAGCTTCGAGGTAAGGCAATGGTTAGACTCGGACCGGGAGGAACAGGACAACTCAAGCATGGACAAGAGATGCCGCCATGGACCGTACCCTAATCTTCACATTTGGCTCCTTGAGCATGACGTGTATCGGCTCACACCAGCTAGGCGCATCTGGCTTCAGAAGAAGATGATGTCTGAACAACAACCGGCAATTATAGAGCCTCTGCCACCGCCGCCTAGCTTGAGTGTTAAGATTCCTTGGAGAGGAAAAAATATCATCGTGAGACTGCCACCTGCTAACTCATTTTCGGCGTCTACCGAGAAAAAATAAATTACCTGAAAGGAGGGACAATATCGAAATGAGTTGTTTTTCATCACCTGGCAGGCCTTGCCTTGTAGTTCTATATTTTTCTCCAAGCTCCCCTTGATTCTCTATGAAACTGAGCTTGCATCAAAACAATGATCTTCTTTTATCTTTCCCAGAGCTCTAAATCCAAATCTTACAAGTCAAAGCTCAGATATCGCCCTGTCATACCTAACCCAAGTCCAAATATTCAACCCCGTCTTCATGCCCTCCGTCACCGGCAGCCCTGCATGCAACGTACTCTTCAGGCCCTTCCCCTGCGCGTCCAAGTTCCTCCAAAAAATCGCATTCCCCGTAATCGGTCTAAACGTGACTCCCGCGCCCAATTCCTGATCACAATCCACCCACTTGCACCATTTCTCGTCTTCTAGTGCTTTCAAACGAGGGAAGTTGGTGCCGCCCCCAGTGCAGTTGGCTTGGATGTAGACGAAAAAGGTGCTGTCGATGTTACCGTCCAGGGTGGGCGAGTCGGTGAACCAGTCATAGTGGTCGCGGTATTGGTTTGTGGGACCGTAGCGTTGGACGACGAGGGGTTTGATGAGGCTGTCGCTGGGGGAGAGGTAGAAGGGGAAAGAGCGGGCTCGGGACTCAATGCATTTGATGAGATATTGGCGTTCGAGTGATGCAGTGAGGGAGGAGCGGTAGTTGGTGTTGAACGAGACTTTGCCATCGTCTGACCAGAGGGGTGAAGGTTTGAATTTGCTTTCACTGGAATGAAGTCAGCTAAAGGATTTGGGAGGGAGGGGCTCAGACGAACCTCAGGTCAGTGAGCTGTGAGGCTTCTTCTGGAGTAACGAATGACTCTATGTAAATGACAAGAGGGTCTTCGGAAATCAAATATGTTCTATAAGAGTCCGTTCTACAAGCATCCGTGATAGATGAAACTGTGGCATCTCCGGAAGCAGGATGTGAAGTCTCGTCTGATGTGAACGACCAGCTAAAAACCATTGGGATGAGAGTTGACCAAAGGAGCCATCTCGATATCATTAACATCTTAACGTTGCAACTCTTAGTCACGCTTAGCCGGGAGTGTTGATGGATCTCATAATGTAAGAAAATATATTGATGAAGAAAGGAAGAAGTGCAATGAACTCAGGGACCTTGAGATGGCGGGGTCGTTTGCCTCTTGCTCCACTATAACGAGCCCCTGTTGCGCTAAGATCAGCCTATCTCAGGAGGGGCAGAGCACACGTGCTCTATCCTCAAACCTCAACCTCATCTACAATTGAACTTTTCTTCAGCCGCAGCAATGATCACTACGGGTGCATCCTAAACTCGCGTCAATTAGAAAGCAGCTCGTGAACTTGTTCTGGTCTGAGTTCCTGGATAGGAGACTCGCGGAGATGTGGAGCCTGCGGGTGCCGGCTCTTCTTATCTCAGCCACATTGACAGCCTCATCCGCAGTGCTTCAGTTGCAAGGTGACAATTTTCAATCTCACCTCGAGACCCACTCTCCCGTACTGGTAAATTGTAGGTGGTTTAACTTCAAGCCATGAATTGGTTTATTGACACTTTCTTTAGTCTGTCTTGTCAGTCACTCTCTCCACCCCACCACTGATCACTTCTCACAATTCGATCCCAACTCACAGCCCTGGTAGTAAGTATATACGCGCCGTACATGGCCCCAAAAGGAAAGTTAAACTAAACTTATCTTTCATTACAGTGAGCCATGCCGAAATCTCAAGCCCGAATTCGAAGCAGCAGCAGAAGTGCTCAAGAAAAGAGACATCGCATGCATCAGCATCGATTGCAGCCTCGAAAACAAAACATGTATCGCCAATCACATCACATCATATCCCACAATCAGGATTTTTCACGGCCCTGAGAAGTTCACACGATACAGAAACGAGAGAAAAGCGCCAAAGTACGTATTTCCCTTTTCGGACAGCCATTCAAACACTAACTTTTGGTTCAGTATTATATCTTATATGATAAGAGACAGTCTACCACTTGTCTTAGAAGTTACTACCGATAATATAGAGGAGGTTCTATTGATGGGAACATCGACTTTGATTGCATACATCGATGAAGATGATCAGAAATCTCGATCAGTTTTCACTTCCTTCGCGGAAGCACACCAAAACGAATTCATATACGGCATAACATCCAACCTAACATTAGCCAAATCTAACGTACAGAAAGCTCCCTTCGTCATTGTTTATAGTCCTCTAGATCAAGTGAACCCCATCTTTAAAGACACCTTCTCGCTTGACAAGCTCGAAGCTTTCGCCAATAAATATTCCACTCCCCTCATTGGAACATTCTCATTGGAAACCTACTATGCCTACACCGAAGCACTACCGCCATCTTCCCCTTGTACTCCGTACACCTTGACTGACACTTCAACAGGCCGGGTTACCCCTCCTACACATCTTTGTCTCCACCCCCTCCAGCTCCGACCATTCATCCCTCCTCTCCCTCCTCAAACCCATCGCCGAGAAGCACAAAAGCAAACTGAACTTCGCCACTATCGATGCCACAAAATACCGATTCTTCGCCAAAGCATTGAATCTTGCGACTGATAAGTTTCCCGCGTTCGTGATCGAGGATACCGTGAGCGGTGATACGGCGCCGTTTGATCAAGATGAGGAGGTTACGGGGCAGAAGATTGAGGGTTTCGTCCAGAAATATTTTGAACTTAGAGGGAAGGGAAATGTGCCAGTGCAGACTGCGGTAAGTTTTCCTTTTGGAATGGAAACGCTGACGGATCATTGTATGTGATCGCTGATGATGTACGTAGGGTCCGATTCGTGATGAGTTGTAGGTATCAACGCACCGAGAAAGATGTTCAGAGCACTGCGCAAGAACCCAGTTCTACTGCGATTCGACCATCAATGGTTTCAGATGATCTCCTTACTGCAATGCATCGCTTTCTGAGGTTCGTCGTTGCGTGGTTCCTACCTTGTTCAGTTATCAAGTTGATTGACTCCGTTCACGTGATACGCCCCCTGAGAGCTCCTTCCTTCATCAGCAACAACGAGATTTTCTCCAAAACTAAACACTCTAGTGTACTCCTTCCTTCGGCTCCGCCAGGCGTTCTCTTCCATTCCCTTCCCTTCCTTCCTCTCTTACCTCCACTACACAACCTTGCATCTCTTCTTCCCATCAACACAGTTAATCCATTTCTCCAACCCTTCAACTTCTCCTTGTACAATCACGCCTCTCTAGTTTTCAGGCTCTCCGCCCATTATCGCTATCAGGATCTCCATCCTTCATTGTTATTCAATCCATCAACAACACCCTCAGGCACAATGGGCTGCATATCAAGCAAGGAGTCCGTCCCTGAAGCTGCACGCGCCATCACATTGCCGAATACATCTGAACCAACGGCAAAGGACGGTGACGAGAAACCAGCTCAGAAAAACCTCTCGCGGTACCTCCAACAGAACCATGACGCAATCTTTGCCAGCAACAGGAAATGGATTGAATCAAGACTCGAGGAAGACGCCACCTTCTTCGTCAAGCTCTCTTCGAGTCAACATCCAGATTATCTGTAAGACCGCCCATCTTAGGATCTGCCTCCGTCTTCTCATGAAGGGAAATGCAAATGAACATCAACTGACAAGTCTGCAGATATATCGGATGCGCCGACAGTCGTGTCCCCGCGAACGAAATCATGGGTCTCGACGCCGGTGAAGTCTTCATCCACCGCAACATCGCCAACCTAGTCCCCAACACCGACCTGAACGCTATGTGCGTGATTGAGTACGCGGTCACGCACCTGCACGTTAAGCACATCATCGTCTGCGGGCACTACAACTGCGGCGGTGTGCAAGCAGCCCTGGCGTCCTCTGACATGGGCCTCCTCAACCCCTGGCTCCGCAACATCCGTGACGTGTACCGCCTGCACGAGAGTGAGCTCGACAAGATCAAGGACGAGACGCAGAAGTACCGCCGCCTGGTCGAGCTGAATATCCTCGAGCAGGCCCGCAACGTCATCAAGACCGCGACGGTCCAGAAGTCGTACTACCTAAATGCGTACCCGATCGTGCACGCCTGGGTCTTCGATCTGAAGGATGGCGTGTTGAGGGATCTGAAGCTGGACTTTTCCGGCACGTTGGCAAGCATCAAGAAGATTTATAATCTGGAGGAAGAAATCAAGTCGGCTAAGGGCACGCCGCATTCAATATCTTCGGCAATGACTTGAGAGAGGGGGGTCGATTTGGGAGGTTCTTTTTCTTTTGCTGTACGGTTAGTCGTTGCCGTGAGATTGGCGCTAGTCGCTATGGCGTAGATGCAGAGAATAAAGATTGTTTGACGCACCCTTCAAAAAGGAGTTCTGTATTTGCACTGGTAACCATATGAACTGAACGCAAAGCATGATGATACTGTTTCTGCACCGGTTGAAAAGCGCTGCAGAATCAACTTCCACACTCGAAGAAAGGTCTCGAGAGGAAATGAAACTCCACCCAGAACATCCCCGAAGTCGAGATGGTAGTTCAAGGAGAAAGGAATTGTACACGGCACGCATTTGACTTACCACAAGATCGAGGAATCGTATGCATCCATGAATTACAGATATAGGAATCATGGTATCTCATTCAGCCTGCGCTATCGACAAAGAACCAGCCACAACTAACATCCAACTGGCCATCCAGACGACTTCCAATCTCCCACCAAAACCTGATCCCTGAAGCAGACTTCACTTCTCAGCAGGCGGTACCAGAACCGTCGACCTGTGATTTAACATCAGTAAACACCTCCCAAACAAGGCTTCAGGGAAGGAAAACTCACGCGCTCTCACTCCCCTCCTTCTCGCCACTGCTCTTCCACTTGTCCAAATCAATCACCTGCCTGCCCTTCCACTTCGTCATCATATTCGCTCCTTTCGCTCGCAAGCCCACTTGATACCAATGCGGGAAGCCCCGCAAAAACGCCAGCGTGACCCCAAAACCCGGCAGGATAACCTGTCCACTCCTCCCCCTCCACACCTTCTCCACGATCGCCTCCGCGACCGTGTCTGGTTCCAGGGCAGGCACGAGGAACGGGGAATCGTTGTGGTAGCCATCGAAGAGCGGGGTCTTGGTGTAGCCCTGATTGATGACAATGGTGCGGACCTTCGGGGCGTTGTACCGCGTCTTCAGCTCGGCGGTCAGGCCCTCGTGGAAGGAGAGCGCGGCGGCTTTCGAGGCGCCGTAGTCGGTCATGTTCGGGACGGTCATGTAGGCGGCGAAACTGGCGACGGTGACGATCATGCCGTGGTTCGCGGCGACCATGGCGGGTACGAATTCCTTGGCGGTCCAGTAGTGCGCCAGTGTGTTGACGTCGAAGGTGAAGCGGACGTCCTTCTCGGTGGCGTCGAGGATGTTCTTGCCGCGGGCAACGCCGGCATTGTTGATGAGGACTGCGGGGGTGAGAGGTCAGTTCAGCAATTGAATTGAGACGAAGCCGGAAAAGAAAGAAAGGGGTTTTTCTTTGTCACCTCGCTTACCGGTAGGCTCCCCCACATCTTTCCTGATCTCCTTTGCGACTGCTGCGAGAGTGGCGGGGGAGGTGATATCACACTTGTAATAAAACACATTCTTCGGCGCTTCAAAAGTCATAGGGATGACATCCAGCACTACCACCTTCGTGCCCCTCTCCGCCATAAGTTTCACAACCTGTCCTCCAATGCCCCCCGCGCCACCAGTAATAACCACAATCTCTTTCTCCCAGTCATACTTATCCTGCGTCCAATTGTTGAGCACCTTCTGATCAAAATACCCACTTATCAATCGGATAACGCCGAAGATGAAGAGCGTGCGGAGCCGTGAGAAGGCGGTGGGGTGGAGAATGGAGAGGTCGGAGCCCTTCTTGGTGTATCGCGCTAGGGCGATGAAGAGGAGTGTGAAGAAGGGATTTAGTGCTGTGCGCTTGAAGAAGGTGCCGATGGGGTCAGAGGTGAGTCCTGTGGAGGGAGAGAGGGAGTTAGTGAAGTGTGATCGAAGAGAGAGGTCGTGCGTACCTTCGCGGGGAAGCCAGCCTTTGCGGATTGGCATCTTGATTGCTGTGTAGGGAGCGTTGCCTAAAGCACTTTGTGCTCCTTTCTGATTGTTCGACAGCCCGCTTGGAGATGAAGCTGGCTCGGGATGCAATTCGGTGACGGTAGAGAGAAGAGAGAGGGAGGGACGTCGCGATAGATATTCAGCTCGGCCCGCGGAAGCCCAAGTCAAGCCCCCGGGATTCGAGGCTCAATTAGCCCCCAAGCTTCATCCTAGAGAGATGCGCAGGCAGTCATTTCTCATATGCTGGACCGAGGTGTTGGGCGTATTGAAACGCGGGGTTAGTGCGGCCTAGTCCTGATGCGGGGGTTACTGCAAGCCACAATTGGGGGGATGCGTGTGGAAATGCGGGCCACGTGAAAATGGGGTCTGGGGATTCGGATATCGAAAACTGACTCTTGGAAAGCGTGTCATGCATAAATAGTGGTTGTCTTGAAACCAGTAGAATTTGCCCCTGAACCGGCGAGGCGGGTCTGCATCTTTACAGTAAGTGCAGAGGCACATGCTATGCACCAGCCCTATGCAAGTTTAATGAGAACCTAATTGGAAATGAAAAGTATAGGTTTACCTTTATGATATAGGATGGCCACGTTGGACTTTGTATCAATGGACGATATTGCTATCGAGATCGCTCTATGTCTTTGAAAAGTGGGAAAAAAGTGGTATCCGCCATCGCCCATTAACGCCGAATGTCGAGAGAACTCTCTGTGTGTATCGTCCTATCCGTTTTACAGTGGCTCGGCCACACTTCACAATATTGTACCAACACTCAACACATTGAGTTGGTATGCTTACAGAGCAAGCATAAAGACTGCAACTCCAATCCACATAACATGTAGGCCTGCCCTCCAATCGAGCATACCAGCACCTCCCAAGCCATCCCCCGGATTCGCATCTGGTTTCGGTCCACCAAGCCCTGATCCGCTATCACCATTCCCTTGAATCGATGTCCCAGGTATCCTCGTGAAGTTATTTGCAGAAGCAACTAGCATCGATTCATTCAATAAAGTATTGTTCAACGAAGCGCATGACGGTCGGTTGTCTTGCGCAGGTATACTGTTCGTGACATGGATTGGGAGGTCGAAGATCGTATATTCGTCCGATCCGTTCAGACGGAAGTTCTGTCGGATGGAGATCTGCCATTATCAGCTTTCGTGACGTCAATAACCCAAACAGTCGGCACGTACATTGTAGAGCCCTCTTGCAGAATTGATATTCCCAGGCGGTCCCTTCCCAACGAGACAATCCGGCCACACCCAATTGACATGCTTCACCGTACTCCCATTCTCCTGTCCCATAATCTCATCCAGACTTCCATTCGACGCTGTGCCATTGGAGATGGTGAAGTTCCATCCCGTGATATAACTAGAGAGAAAGATCGTGATGTTGTAGATGGCGGAGACAGGGTTCGAGGGATATGGCGGTAACTGGAGTTGTCCATCGGAGCTCACGTCAATCGCGACTTGCAAATGATCTGCCCCTCATCAGTCCTCTGCAACGTCTGGAATAATTTCGAAGGAAGACTCACCACCACCCAACGGCGTATTCGGCTGTGGCGAGTCCACAATCGCGATCCCAGGAGTAAATATTTGCCCGTTGACAATCTGCTGCGCATTTAGGCATCTCGCCGACAGCGCAGCGGCAACAATGAATCGAAACAGCATCGCGTTTAGTTCATCTTATTGAATAGCTTCAACTCTCCAAGCTTCAAAGGGTTCAAGTAAATGAAGGGGAGAAACGGGCTGCGGACGTCATGTCGTGGGTAAAGTTGGAAAATCATGGCATGGCATGCCAGCAGGAGGTAATAACAGCATGATGTTAAGAAAGAGGGGATGTGATGTGACAAGGGAGATTGAACGGCCGTATTGGAAAGGCTGCAGACCTACTGATTGGGTTATGCATTCCGGAAATCACGCGGTATGGGGTACTTTGACGGCGAAGCACGGTTGCAGTGGTCCGAAACCATGGTGGGGAGAGCTGCATTGGAGCTGTTGAGACTGAGGTTGTATCAAATACATTAAGTGGCGTTGGAGATGTCATTTCGACAGGGGGAAGGGATGACTAAGGTAAGCTGCCGCGTCACGTGTCTCTACATCAAACCTTAAATTTGATATCAAGTTCTTCGAAACATTCAACCTCTGAACAATCATTCAGACATTGGGCCAGTATTTTCCAGCCACTTCCGCAACGAACGATGCTTCTATTGAGACGATGATCGGCCCTGCATCATGGCAGGCTCTATTTCGATTAGCTTCCCGTCGCAAGCCAGGACACATCCCGTTCTTCACTTCCTCAATATCTCGAGAGCGAAACGAGGCACGTCCAAAGGCCTGGAACCCACTCAAGCCATCCAATCAAAACCTCGTCTTCCAACTCTCCACCGAGGTATCTCGAGCAGTGCACAACAATCTCCCTGTCGTGGCCTTGGAAACCACAATTTATACTCATGGATTCCCGTATCCTGAGAATGTGGCGTTAGCACTGGACTTGGAGAAGATCGTTAGAGCTAATGGGGCGATTCCAGCGACGATTGGAGTCGTGGGGGGTGTGGCGAGGGTTGGGCTGACTAGTAAGGAGATCATGACCCTCGCTGCAGGTGCTGGGAAGCCAGAGACGATGAAGGTTTCCAGGAGGGATTTGCCTTATATTCTGGGCATGGTATGTACAATGATCTTCTGTTTTCAGAGGATGCTGCTTCATGGGGCATTCAGAATACGTGCTCAATTGAATCTTAGGGTGTGGCTGGAAAGAAGCTCAATGGCGGGACGACTGTGTCTGGAACTATGCTGCTCGCTGCCAAAGCCGGAATCAAAGTTTTCGGGACAGGCGGTCTCGGTGGCGTCCATCGTGGAGGTCAAGACACGATGGATATCTCCGCTGATCTCACCGAGCTTGGCCGGACTCACGTAGCCGTAATCAGCAGCGGCTGCAAGAGCTTCTTGGATATCCCTCGAACTCTCGAGTATCTAGAGACTCAGGGGGTGACCGTCTGTACGTTTGCAGACGGAAGGACTGGGGCTATTGATTTCCCCGCTTTTTATACGCGGGACAGTGGGAGTAAGAGTCCAATGGTTGTCCAAGATGCGAGGGAAGCGGCCGCAATCATCTGTAAGTGGCATCACCACAGCCTTAAACCGACCGCGCTCACCAATTTAGTTTCTCAGAGTATGTTTAGTGGATCGAAAAAGTCCGGCATGTTGTTTGCGAATCCTGTTCCTGAAGAGTTTGCCATGCAAAAAGCTGAGATCGATGCCGCCATTGACCAAGCAGTTCAAGAGGCTGCTGAACAAGGTTTCCATGGTCACGCTAATACGCCCTTCATCCTTTCTAGAATCAAGGACCTTACGCATGGTAACAGCCTTCCAGCCAACCGCGCCTTGATTGAGTCTAACGTAGCGATGGCGGCGAAGGTTGCTGTTGAACTCTCGAAGCTGAAAGATTCCACTAATCAAGACCCCGAGCCGAACAAGGAAATGGCGAAAAGGGCATCTATGGGCCAAGCGGATGTGAACCTGCGAAGACGAAAATGCGACTCCAACGATGAAACCTCGAATATTGAGGTAAATCTACGAGACAGATTGGCCCATTCAATCACTGGAAAAGCGGCTGTAAGTACTTCATTCCCTGTCAATCCCCGTCAAAGACGATCCAAACCCAAATCGAATTTTAATTGTGCTTCCAACCCTTGTACGGAGTATGTTCTCACAAAACCTGCAGTCGAAAACTCCAGACATTGTGGTCTACGGATCTGTTGCGATGGATCTCTCTTGCGATTATGCACCTCTAGGCGCAGATGCTCATTCCCCGCCGAGGGACTTGCCAATCTCGCCTCAAATGCACACATCAAACCTTGCCGCAATCAGCCCATCGATTGGCGGTGTTGGTTGTAATGTAGCCCTAGCAGCCCATCGTGCTGGAGGCACTACATCTGTGCTGCTTCGTAGCTTGGTTGCAAAAGATTTGTAAGTGATGAAGTGACAGTGCTTCTTCTCATGACTAACTGTATTCTAGAGCTGGACAGACTATTTTGGCCGCTCTAGAAACCGAGGGACTCTATGTTGGCGGTATTCGCAGTCTTCCTCTTCAGTCGATAAACCCCGATGTCAAGCAGCAGCACCGGACTGCACAGTATGTTGCGATCAACGATGCCAGGAAAGATCTTGTTCTTGCAATGGCAGACATGAGTATCTTCAGCACGCCAAACCCTATGGCTGTTCCATTCATGCGAGTAAGTCCGAAATGGGGCGTGGTCGATGCGAACTGGCATCCGCGGATGATTCGGAAGATATCTCGTCATCTCAAAGATTGGAAATCAAAGGTGGCATACGAGCCAGTCTCTGTCCCCAAATCAGGAGGCATCTTCCAGCCATCCGGACCCACTTCCGATCATCTCGGCCTCTTCCCAGCACATACAGTTGATCTCGCGACACCAAACCAGCACGAGCTAGCAGCAATGCATACTGCAGCAAAAAAATGGGGGTTCTTTGAATCGCAAAGGTGGTGGGAGGTCATAGACAGTCTAGGCATTCCCAGCTCCGGGCTTCGCGACCGTTTCGTCGCCACGACGAACCACAAGATGACAGATGAAGGCATTCCACTTCAAACAATTCAACTCCTCCCAATCATTCCTACGATCCTTACAAAACTTGGGGCTGATGGTGTCCTCTTGACAGAGATTCTCAAGCCTGAAGACCCGAGGCTTACAGATCCTGCTCATGCGCCATATATACTATCTCGCACTGTGAATGGGAGCATCGAGGTTGGAGGTCTATACATGCGTCTTTTCCCACCTGTGGAGGTTGTGGATGACGTTGTTAGTGTTAATGGCGTTGGCGACACTTTCCTCGGTGTCCTCGTCGCCGGGTTGGCAAAGGGCTTGGAACTAAACGGGGGATTGATCAATGTTGCTCAACGAGGGGCGGTGATGACGCTCCGGAGCAAAGAGTCAGTGAGCCCTCAATTGGGAGAGCTGACCCCGGAGTTCGATCGATTACAGCAGAATGCTATCACAGAAGCATTGGAAACAGCCAGGGATGGAGCATAATATACCTACTCTGAAGCACATTTTTCAAAGCAGAAACTCAGGCTACCCATCCTATTCACTGAGAACATTATTCGCCGAGAACACTATCCCAAAAGAATACTAACCGCTGAGGAAACCGTCCTCCTGAATTTGAGCTATCATGAACAGCCAGTTCCATTAAGCTTTTCGCTCGCTCGAGAGCTTCAATCCCTGGTCCTCCACTACTCGACAATAAGTGCCTTGGTACCCTTGGCGTGATATCTGCCAACAGTTCCGGGTGGCTAAGCTGAATACTGTTTGCTGTTAGAGGCATTCTCAACATCGCTAAGTCTCGAACGATTACACTACTTTAGGTCCCGGCTTGGCTGCGGAAGGGACGAGCCAGATGTGGGTTTGCCGCACGAATTACTCGATGGCTGCTTTCCTTTTCTACTCGATTCTTTCCCAATCGAGTTGGCAGGAGCCACGACAGTCGCGGAAATAACCACACCACCAACTTCCCCGAGCTGGACTCTCAAGTCAGCCAGGTCAACCCCATCTCCGCAGTCCAGATCACAATGGAAGATTTTTTTCGACAAATTCCACTGTCCCTGTGCCGTTCACGCTACGTTCGTGTCTTTTTTCTTCTTCAAATATAGAAGCTGGCTTGCCTCCTCTTCTTGCTCTTCCTTCCTCACACACGCATCTTCGACAACAATTTTCAGAGCCACTTCAACAATCAGCTTCAAACCACGTTTTACAATATCTTACGAGTGACGACAGTCAAGATTTACGCTATTCGTACTCCTTACAACAACACCAACACTTCGACGAAAAAACCATCGTTTGCACCCCAAAAATTGCGAACAACTCCACCTTCTCACAATCCAACTCAAGAGAATCTAGCAACTCAATCACTCATCACGAAGAAAGTTTGAGATTTGACAAACAACTTATCAACACCATCTTCAAGGAAACCTCACGCTCTCGATCACTTGGACCACGACTTTTGACAAATTGACGAGCTTTCAGTGCCGTTCTCTAAATATGGCGACGCGCTCTACCTTAGGTTCAACAGCATTCCCTGGTGACGCACTCGACAGAACTAGAACCATGGATTCCAAATTCGGCACACAAAAAGATCAACAACGGAAATCCCGCCTCGCTACCAGGATCTCTTCACCCCACACCAGGATTACTATCAGAAAATTACATATCGGCAACAGAAGAAAGACTCTCGCCAAGAGGAGACAACAAATAGAACATTGGATGTCCGTGCTTCAGTCCGCACAACAACATCGCTGCCTTGAACCAGCCATGCAAACGACGAATAACGACGACAGCAGTCTTTCAGACGTCGACATTGGCCTGGACGACCTCGGATCAATCCCAGCATCACCTGGCCGACCTCACTCGCCAGCACTAGAGGATCTATTCCAACCCATTACAGAAGAAGACTTCTTTACCAACTTGGACGTGAACCCCAGGCCTTGCAAACGAGTCAAACGAGCAACCAATAACGACAAGGACAGCCTGTCAGATGTTGACGTTGGCTTGGGAGATCTCGAATCAATCCCAGGATCATCAAATCAACCTCTTTCGCCGCAATCAGAAGAGGAAATCTTCCCAATAACAGAAGAAGACTTCTTCGCCAACTTCGATCCCGACTCCACAATTGGCGTATCCTTTACGACGCGCAACCTCGAAACACTACAACAACACCTTACACAGCCCCTAGAAGCTCGTGACGGACCAACAACAGAAGAAGACATCTTCGCCGCCTTTGACGCCCATCTCGGCATCGAACTCAATACCCCAAGCAACGCATCTACTCAAACTACCAGTGAAGAAGACAGCCTCTCAGACGTGGACGTCGACCTCGATGACTTGGAGTCAATTCCAGAAGGTTTCGTCATCCCAATGCTCAACGAAGACGGTACACCTATCTCCGACGACCCGGGATCCGACGCTGCATCCAACACTAGCGCCAACGGACCACACCAGCCAGCCACACCAACACCACAGGACGATATCCGCAATCTCATCATCGCTGTTCAAGGCGACGACACTGACTTACGAATGGAAGACACCTTCTTCCCTACAACATCGAATCGCCCAACACTCGCCAACATTACTGTGACTTCGCCGTATAGGAATGAGAATGGAGGGAGGGTCATAGGAGGAACGACAGCGCATCACCGGCGAAGCATAGCGACCATCAGGGCACAGATCGCTGAATTTCAAGAAAGAATGAGACAAGGGGATCACACCGCGAGGTTAAGGCCGAGAAGGCATGCGAATCAGGAGAATGCTCCACCGGCTGGGAGGGAAGAGGGGACGACCGAGGAACAGAGGAGAGAGAGGGCTTGGAGGGAGGAGAGAGATAGTATGATTTTTGGGTGGGATGATGGGCAGGAGGGGAGGATGCAGGATACGGAGAGGAGAGAGCACAGGCGCGTGCAGAGGAATATGAGGGTTGAGAGGGGGAATGCGTATCAGGAGAGTTGGACGAGGCATATGAGATGATGGGGATGAGAGGTTGGTTGTAAGAGAGATTGGATATGAGAGAATGACTTGGGAATAAGATACTGATTGAATGGGACTTCATTTCACCAAAAGATTTCGCCTGCAATACATGATGTGATAACAGTCAGAGCACCCCCTCAAAGCTTTGCGTATACCTATCTACATAAAAATATCCCACAAAGGTTCGTAAATTCCTAAACCTATAGCGCAAGAACATAATATTTCGAGGGATATTTGAATGGTAAGCCTTAATAAATGTACCAGAAGCTTTTCGACATTGACATTTCTGGACCTGCGTTGTACATAGAGATAATAGCAGCAGATTTACAAGCTTTGATTTATACCTACAAATGCTACTTAATTATCGTATCTCTTACGACTACCTCCCCAGGTTTGCCTCCAATTCTCGGTAGCTCACACCATACACGCAACGACCCCTTTTCCTCGCCAGGCTCCGCACGTAAATTCCTCGCTCTCGCCTCTTCAGGCACATAATTACCCACCATCCCTTCCTCCTCAACGCTAACAATCCAACTACACACCTTCGCCAGCACAAGACTATCCATAAAACCCTCCCTCCTCTTGACCCCATACATCAACCGTATCGCCTCCCTCCTGACCACCGGATCGCGACACTTCTTCCCCACGATCTCTAGCGGCAGTATAACCTGACTATCAAAAACGAAGAACGAATCATCCTGCTGATCCAGCAGAATCTTCGTCAGGGAGAGGATGGATGTGAACGTTGATTTCAGGGTGTCGAAGAACATTTCATTTTCCCGGAACACGCAATCCATGGCGACGCAGGTGCAGAGGTAGTGCACTTGCAGACAGATCGCGGAATACCGATCTTTTGTCTGACGTGAGGAAGTGGCACGATCGAGCAACGGCGTGAACGCCGCGTACCACCTTGCCATCTCCTTCCTATATCCATCTAACTCGGCAAGACTTTGCGGGCTCGCATTACACCTAATTTTATCCAGGACATACATATTGTTATCTGGTTGCTGTGCACCGCGGTCGTACGTCCACGCTACAACCAGGAAATGAATCGTCCGGCGCATCAAGATTTTCCCGAACACTTGCGCTTCGGAAATCCGCTCGAATTCCGAGGGCATCGTTTGGACGGCGGCTTCCCGGTCGTTCTTGCGAGTCAGGTGGCAGGAGACAGGTAGCTGGTCGATGTACACCATGCCTTCGATCTCGAGGCGGTAGAAGGCGTGCACGAGGTCATCTTCTACGGTATGTGGAGAAGGCGATATGCCCGCGCCCGCGCTGTCAAGAGAGCAGTGATGCGGTGCGGTCCAGTCTTCTAATAGTTGGACGCTGGATCGGATTTGATCGAGGGCCGACTCGTGATTGCCATGGTAGATCTCGAAGGCGATGATGAGGATTGAGGCGAGTAAAGTTGTCCGCAGGTCTTGTTTTTTTTGTACTGTTTGCCGCATTTGCTTGATTGCTTTGTTCATCTCTCGGAGAGAAAAGCGGTAATGTGCGATGGCCTCGTCTTGCTTTGATATAGAACCCAATGCCCGTGAGATGGAGGAGGAGCGACCTGTCTTGAATGAGAGATCGATAGCTCCGATTGCAATGGCTGCGTATAGGATTGAGCGTTCGCCTTCACAGGCTTGTAAGACTGATTGGTTCCAGAGAAGTGGGTTGTAGCAGCCTCCTATGTGAGCTACCGTTTTGTCGGTGAAGAACCGAAAGTACCGATGTTCATCTTCGTTGTCGAAGATTGAGGTGCTCGGGGGTCGACATAGTGTGATAGCACGACAGTCATGTGTATGACCAGGTTTACCAGGTTCTAGAGGCGGTGTCTGAAGTTGCAGTGGTCGTTGTGAGCTTGGTGAGGATTTAGAGACTGAGCTACGGTGAGAACCATGGCTCTGTGGATCATTCTCTTCTTGTTCCTGAGCTTTGCGGATACACTCGCACTCTTGCCCGAATGTTTTGGGATGAAGAAAGCCAAGTTGTGTTTTCTGAAGTTGGAGTCCGCTGCGAGGTGTCAGGCTAGTATCGAAAGTTCCAGGTAACCCGAAGGCTGTTGCTGTCTTAAACGTCTCAAGATCCTTTGGCTTGGCATCGTTCTGGAATGATGACGACTCGGGAGGAGTGGGATCAGACTGGTTAGGGGTTGACATGCGTGGGAGAAGAGGTTTCTGCGACGGCGGAAGCCTTTCCGCCTTCGATGCAGGTTTGTATCCCTTGCAGCTCACGCCAATAGCCAGGCAACGGCTGCATTCGGGTTTCCCTTCATCACACTTCACTTTCCTTCTTCTGCAATTTAAGAGGCTATGGTCAGCTTGCCTCGAAACCAATTTTAGTGGTAATAATCTCGTGACCTACTTGCACGTTAGGCAACCCGTTCTCGCTTTTGGTGCGGATCGCCTCGACTGTTTGAACTGGCTCTGGTTTTGCGTCTGGCTCCCCCCCGCGACACGCTCGGCCGGCATATTGTACGTCCGTCGCAACCAGGCGTCCGATCAGCGAGGTGGGGAGAAGGGGGATTTGAAAATAATGGTACCCTCGGGCTACTGACCCAGTCTCGGGTGGTAGGGTCGTGGAATTGTCAACGGAATAGATGAAACCGGGTCTAGCAAGAGACTGAGATCTTCCATTCGCGATGGCTGCACATCAGATGGCTGAGAAACGGTATGGGATGGAGGGGGAAGAGGACGTCAGATCTTAGTTTCGACACGTGCATTGGTTAGGTAAGATCTTACATGCCGCCACCCTACAAACCCCAGATCCTAGTTCCCTGAACGAAGGGGGAAAGTGGCTTACGGCCCCTGAACACGCTTCTGCACCTAGGTGGCGCAGCCCTTCCGTAGCGGAGGATCGGTTAGAGATCCGGAAAGAACGTGACCCGAGAATGCTATGAGTAAGGCTAAACCACCTTTAACATTCCCTACATATCCTAAAGTTAAGATATTTTGAATAAATAGATAACTCAGGGAATTCGAATCATAAAGTTGAGGCCATGAAGTCGAGAATGGCTCGTGGTGGACAAAAAAGGCCGCACTAAACTTTAATGTTCTCGGCTAATTTGGGCATTAAAAGGAGACGATGTCCAATGCTCTAGAACCTCATAGACAATCGGAGAGAGTAGATTTTGAATATACTATAAACCAAGGCAACTGTCTTGAGAAGGAGTGTCCGAAATAGCCCAAGTTAACCGGGGACATTCAAAATTCAGTGCGGCTTTTTTTGTCTACTGCGAGAATGGGTGCTAATATAAGGTGAGTTAAGGGCGCATGGACCCAAGAAGTCGCAATTTCGGTAGCGAATAATCGTGCGTCAGGACTTGCACTAAAGCCCCTGCGTCCCTGCGGGTTTAGTGCGTATCAGCAATACGGTCGAAAATCAGCAATATGGTCGCTTTTTTCTCCCATTTATCGATTTTAATTAATTAAATATCAACACCATGGCCAAATACAACCCAGAAGAAGGGTAAAGGATGGCCCAGGCCTCCGATCTCTATACCAGGAACCCACACGTCAAAACATCTGCGATTGCGCGTCAATTCAGGGTAAAATATCGACTCTGGAAGCGCGTTTGGCTGGACGAAAACCACAAAACACCAAAGGGAGCTACAACAAAACCCTTAATCCTGACCAGGAGGAGGGCCTCAAGTAATTTATCGATTTCCTGATCTATTTAGGCTATAAAGCTAATCTCAAGACGGTTCGGGCGGCGGCAAACAAGATTCTGGCGGAGAGCGCGTCCACCCACCAGGCGACGCATATTTGCGCATAATAATAAATACTAGCTAGAGAGCTTGGTTTTGTCAAGCTACCCCCCCTTCCACCTTCATTTTATAATAATGGCTTTGGTAATATAGTTAGATCAGATACTAATGGGGAGGAGATAATTATTGGATACACGAATTAGGAGATGGTGGTTATGTAATTAATTGATTTCTTAAAATCGTAGCATTTTGGGGGGGTCGCCAATAAGGTAAAATATGTAATATTTCCACCATTTTTTACTGTACGCATATGCAATGTAAAAGTAAGAGAATTTTATTTATTAATTATAGTATAAACTCTATATAAACTATAAAATATTTTTCTGCGATTTGTACTAAAATTCTAAAAATTAGTGTTCCAAAAAAACGACCATATTGCTGATTTTCGACCGTATTGCTGATACGCACTAAACCCGCAGGGACGCAGGGGCTTTAGTGCAAGTCCTGACGCACGATTAATGCAGACTGCAGGCTGAAACCCTGGTTCGGATCCCAATTCTCACACGACAGTTTAATTTTGCTAGACTAGATTGATCTCAGTCTCAGTTCCTTCCATTAAGCTGGGGTAAACTGTAGTCTCACTGCCAAACATAGATTAAGCTATAGCCTACGCGGTATTTGAGACCTTGGTTTAAAGATCTAACATCAAACTGCGCCGAGGGCTCTCCAGAAGTCTGACTGGACAGAGGTCATAGTATTCGCTTTGCAACTTGGAAAGCGGCTTGGGCAGAGAGACTCAAAGAGTTAAACAGCCATGGAAATGTTGTCTTGATTACCTTCAAGAGATGGCCATTTCCAGGCGTCAAGCCTTAGCAAGATCTAGGCTCAGGCAATAAGTAGACTACAATAACGGAATAACCGACCCTCGGTGACAAGACATTAGTGGAAAGACTGCCAGTTTTCTGCTCATAGGTCAAGATTTACTTCGTTTCATTCGCATTACCTCAAAGCGTTATTACCCGCACGCTGTCTATTTTCACGTTCACCTCCTTTCAAGCTCAATTCCATTTCAAGTTCTTCTAAGTCATGGGGGGGGGATCTAGTGTGACTCTCCGCTTGGGCTGGGAAAAGCTACTTACTCGTTAGGGAATTCTAGTGAGACAGGCCTTGCCGCACGGGGTTGCTTTAATAGGGTGAGCAGACCTGAGTCGAGCCTGAGAAAAACCCGGCACTGATTACATGAGGCAAAGAGTTGAGAAGCGCCAACACTCCGGTAAAATAACAATTATTATTTGCTCGTCTTCAATTTTCAATCAGAGAGCGGATGTCTCTCTAGACTCGAATTCATCCTCCCTTTCCTCGTCAACCCTAATATCGGATAGACTGATAGAATCGGAAAAGACATCCTGGATGCACTTAATCTCAGACTTCTCAAACTACTCTCGATGCTCTTTAAAGACAACGGTGCAACCCCAGAACTTCCTCCACGCACTCCATCTCCACCAATGGTACCTAATTCTCTTTCAATTATCTCAATGGATCTTGGATACCACTCTTGTCCCAGGTTGAATGTGTGTGAAGTCGTCTTTCGTGGCAACATCTTGTTTACATACTTGCTAAATGGGAAATCGCGTTCTCCGCAGTATTCGATACGTTCATAGTAGCGGCACCAAGTTAGTTCTGCTTGAAGACAGTCGTAATATTTGAGCATCAGGGGAAATTCACTCCTGTTTCCCTTGTTTCCATATACCTCGACGTTCAGGTAATGCACGTGTTTACTTGCTCTTCCGAGAACTCGCAGCTCGTGGCCAGATTCTTGAGCCAAATCCGATCCATAACTCTTTTAAAACTCCAGAGTCGGTACTGTGCAGAGCTTGTAAACCAGAACCAAGAAAAGAGAACCTTCCCGAGTTTGGGGCAATATGGGTTCTGCTATCTCCAAGTCGAAGTCCACAGCCAATCCTCCCCAGGCTTCATTGCCAGATACTCGCCATATTCCTCTGGATGGATTTCCGTGTCTAAGGACACACTGCCTTTTTATAGTTCTCGCATGATGTTTTGAAAGTAAGACCAAGACATGTGGCAGTGGCCACGTCAAGATGGCTGAATATAATGGCAAAAGCTCAGCTGGGCGCTGCGCGATGTGAGAATCGGGAGTTCTAAGGCCTTCTGACAATAAGAGCTAGCCTTCTCTTGATTTATAAATAAACTGTACAACTTATGATTGCGAGGGAATACCATTTCGTTTCCCTTATTCTCGCACATGTTGTGAATGAAAGCAAGAGCTTCTGTCTTTGATACGCAGAAAATTGACAAGCATTTGGAAAGCTTTAAAGACGATGAAAACGAAGAGACGCGTAAATCGTATGTGTAAATGACATCGGAGTGCGGACGGAAACGGCAGCTGTTCCAAAGGAAGTGTAGAGGAACTAAACCCAAAGAGTGTATTTGAGGAATCATAAACATCTAATAAAGGGCATTTTCAGCCTTCCTCTTCCTCTCGCTATGGAATCCCAAATAAGTTATTTATGTATTCAGAATAATGCCGATACATATGTAGATACTAAGCTAATATGTTATTTCGATTCCCTGGACGTACATTTTACCCAGAGCCAAGGTGCTTATTCGCCGTCGTAGTCCGACTAGATCGGATTTTCACCTCATGGAAATTCCTAGGAGTTTACATATATTTTAACGGGGTCTCGAATAAAATAAAATAAAATAAAATAAAATAGAGAGCTCATAGCTAATGACTAATTATGAATGTGACTGAACTCTGTGGAGCTTTCATAAATGGCTATTAGGAGGGTTTCGCCGCTCTCTAAGCTGCCCCTGGTGTTCTCTATCATTATCACCAACATTAATAGTAGAGCTTCTATCAAGTTTCATGTCTTCTGCAACACGGTGTTTAACTTCAGTAGCTCGACCTCTATGGTGAAATCTGAGACTATTCCACAATTCTTCGTCCTCCAGCAGGCTTTTCAACCTTTCTGGATCTTCGAGCTCCGGAAAGTGGCCGGCTTGGGGGAAGACCAATATCTTTCCACTCTGCAGGTATTCCAAGACCGAGTTTGGGTTGCTCCTTCGATGGGTCCGATCTGATCCGCCCCACATCACCACCGCCGGCTGAGTGACTTGAAAAGAAAGATTCTTGGCCTGGGCCCACGTTTGGGCTAAAGACGCAAGGTAAAAGATACCTCCACTTGATAACACCTTTCGAGCTGGGTTAGCGAAGCCGTTAGTAGGTTTTCCTGGGGGTAAAGCGTTGTTGTACCACATGTCGGATACTCTCTGCGAGGCTACGGCAAGGAATAGTTGCCCTATGATAGGAGTTCCTATCAAGCCACTGTTCATACCCATGCGAGTTGACCAAGCCTGTTCCCCATCCCAATGCGGGCACTGCGATACAACGAGACGGTCCACCAGCGACGGCTGGTCAGTGGCCAGCAGGAACGCGACGTAGCTCCAAGCACAAGGAAACATCAGCGTGACTGGCCCTGCACGTAGCGTGACTATGGCGTGTGCAACAATTGCAGCGTACTGCTGCAGAGAAAAGTCGAAACTAGAACTTGGCCATGAGAATCCAAACCCGGGCATTTCGAGGCAGATCAGACGGTGTGATGGCGACAGTAACTCAAAGACGGCATCGTAATTCTCAAGAACATTTGGGCCATCGCAGGCAAATATGACACTCGAGGCTTGACCTCCGCTATCCCGTATGCGAATTGGACCAGCTGGGGTTTGGAGAAAGCTGATGTTGGGACGTGTGATGGCTTGTTCGACCGATGGAGATCCACCAACGCGCATTCGGAGGAGATCAACCCACTTAGCCGCCATGGTGATGAAAGAGATAACACGACTGGTTTGAAAGAAATTGTTATCAGTTATTCTGGCAGTAATAAGCTCTGATACTCCTTTCACTGTATTGCATCGACGATGATCTATTATTGCTACTTGGAAGGCACGTGAATGCGGGGTTCCCTTTCATAATTTACCTCGGTCTGGGATTTGTTTCCTTGGTGTAAATGTAGGCGTCTTTGCATTGGTTCAGCTATTTGGTTTGGATCGGGCTTGCTTACCCGAGCTCATGCCCAATGCCTGGAAATGGGAAAATGCATGACAAACATTCCAGTGATGCGAGAATTGCTGCCATCTCTACAATTATATTAGCATTTTGTTGGCACTGAGATCTAATTTTGAACAAGGCAACTTGCAAATTTAACAAGCTTCTCCAATTTGAAGAAGACTAGCCCACTGTTTGCAGACTACCGTGGCAGACTGGAGTGGAGTGCTAGGGCTTCGACGAAACTCCCGAACATCCTCGAACCTCTGTCCTAGATTGGTACGAGGCACCGAATTGGCAGTAACTTCAATAACCAGAAAATTAAAAGCCCCCCGAAACAAAGAAAAGCACTGGCTAAATTTGCTAGCTTGGTTTTCGTTGGGTATGAGAACCCCAAAATAGGGTTTGGAACAACCAACCATGAGCTAGTCTATTCTGAAATGAACCAGAAAATGACAACACTTAAGCCTCCCGCTAAAGCACTTAGTAAGTTGACGAAAGAAACTGGGGACAATACTTAAATTGAGCCTTGATTCCTTGAAATCGCATTTCTTCGCTTTCAAAACTTAACAAAAAGCAATTTAACACCTCAACTTCTCGCCTTACAAACATCAAACATGTATTCCCGTAAGATCCGAAAGCCTTCAAACTTTGATACTGAGACTAAATAGAAGCCAGATCACAATCGTCGACGCTGTAAAGCAACAGACAAGAAATGCGTTGCCGCAGACCTTGCTGAGAATTACCGGAAGCAACAACGAGCCAGAAAAATCTTCGAAGAATTACCACAACATACTACGGAACTCGAGATGCAGGACAATCAAAAGGAGTCTACGTCACCAAGCCTCCTCCTAAATAAAATGCCAAGCGAAATTCTCATTCTGATCTTTGAGAAGCTCTCAGTTTGTAGCGCGACATGTTTCGGCCTTACTTGCCATTCGGTGCACGATATCTGGATGAAGCACATATACCGGGGTCCCGTATCCTTAGATGAGCTAGAGGAGAGTACCGTCGAGTGGACGATTATGTCCACGAAGCACGTAAACCAGGGTCCCGTATTTCTACACAATACCTATCTGAAAACCGTTCAGAAGAAGAACGACATCTCGACAAATCCGTACGCGGCACTCGATACCGAGGCTGCTGGGCACTTCACCGCTCTAGGAATGAAGCATGACCTCGACCCCGAAGTCGGTCAAAAGGGCTTCCATGAATTGGAAGATATTAGCGATGAGCTGTCGGTCGTGGCCACGAAGCACACATGTTTGGGATATTTGCTTTCTGACTGGAGGGGAATCGGACCACGCTTTCGCCTATGGCGACCCGATATTATGTTCTTTGAATTGCGTTCAGAGGTGTCTCTTCCAGCGTGGCATTTCGTTCCCAGGGGAACCTACGGAGAGCAACCCGTGCAAAAGAGAGCAGCTGGGCTGTGCTGGAGGGACTTCTCACTAGATTCCAGGCTATTTCTCCGGTATCAAGATTATCATCTCATGCATATCGAAGACACTTTTCACCTGCCGAACCCAAGAAATATGAGCGGAGAAGAATGGGAGCTGAAGGCGATTGATGCCATTGACCAGGACCGCGAGCAACATGATAATCAATCTGAATGGATAAAATTTTGGGAGAAAACTTGCTTTTGGAGGTGGGAATCGACAAAGATAATGCATAAGGAGATGGAGCGCCGCGCAGCTTCTGTGGCCGAACTTGTGGACCAGGAAAAGCGGAAAGGCCGTGGCTGGCTGAGAAGAGTAGAAGCAAGGAGAAGACAGTAGAGTTTAACGAAGTTACCCATAAAATCTCGGACGACAAACGACCTCACCAAAGTCCACTTCCGTCTTTGTACCTGAGCAGCCGTTGCTCTAACCTGAGCTGAGTCGTGAGCCCTCAGTCCTAAGCACGTTAATGAGTCAGCTGGGTTATGCTTAGGGGGATCTTCTTCTGGCCCCCTCGCGAATGGGTTACTGTTTCTATATTATTTATAAATAGAATTCTACAAATCTTGCTGCCTACAATACAGCCACCTCTCTGAGTCTATCAAGATATCGTGACGGTATCTGTTCGAAGTGGTTTGAGCGATACCAGCCCTGACCTTAGAGCGACAATGACGTTGACTTCGAGAGATGTTGGAAATACGTTAGAGAGGAACTTACCTGTGAAGTTATTTCTCAGTTGTCAGTGTACCTGTGAACAAAGCGGGTAGTAGTGATGTAAAGGGATTGCTACAGGCTTGGAAGAAGGACACGAAGAGGTTTGGGAAAGGACCAGTATCTACTCCATAGGTCTGGCCCCCACCCCTGTCTCATTCATCTTATTATGTGGCCGCTTTTGAGCATATCAAATGACAATATATACTGACTCAGCGTCGTAGATGAATTACATAGACCACGGGAAGAATTTGTTCAGACCTTTACGGTCGTTTAGTTACAAGTATTAAAAGGAGTCCAATTTAAAGCCTGTAAGTGGGGAGAACACCCCTTGGAAAGTCTTGTGACTCAAAGACTTTGTAGTAGTGCTGTATGCTGGTGAGAATAATTGGGTACGGAAGTGTTGTGAGGACAACCGTAAAAGGTTGTCTCCTATAATTAATATTATATTCCATCCTGTGTATAGAGTGACCAAGCTGCCAATATGTAGGCCTTCCGAACCCTGTTTAAATGAAAATGTAGCGTGTATTTTCTTCCTGTGGCTTCTTCCAATCCTTTTGGTCGCCTTGGATCAGCAATAGCGGAACGATAATTATCGAGGTAAAAGGGGGTCTGATCATAGCCTACAAATCTAGCGAGTAAAAGTTTTATTCGCTAAATTTCAGGCTTTACTCACCATTTCCAGGCTGTAGTTGCTAAAAGCCAAAACCATCTTTTATCGCGATAATTAACGGCTATCAATCTTACCGGAGCCCATCCGGAGGTCCCTCAACTTAACAAACTACAAAACAATAATCAAACCAATCAAACAGGCAAGAACCCCAAGCCAAGTGCGCAGAACAAATCCCAGTCCCCCACCTGACAGGACAATAACACCTCCACCTCCACCCGCCGAACCTTGCGACGTAGTCTGAGCGCTACCTACCTCAGCCGTAGCCTGCGCCGCAACCAAACTTGTCGTCGCTGCAGGCTCGACTTCCTGTGTATATGTGTATCTAGTGCTCTGCGCAGCCTGCTCCGTCGTACTCATCTGCACCGCCATAGAACTCGATGCCGCAGCTGTAGGCTGAGCAGGAGTGTACGTACTGCTACTCGCAGCCGGACTCCACGTCGTCGTCGCCGCCGCCATAATCACACCACACGAGTTAGAAAGCGTAGCAGCAGAATCGGCTGCACTGGTGCTGCAATCCTTCTTCGGTTTAAAAAGACAGGTAAATCCATGCCAGAGACTGGTAGCTACCGACTCGATGTCGGAGATAACGGTTTTGCCGCCGTTTTCGATGAGCGTTATTACGCCTTCAGGATCGATAAATAGTTCCTCGACGACGGAGACGACGTCTTTGCCGTCGGAGATTATGTAGTCAAGTATTTCGGGGGCTAGTGTGGGGAGCGCTTTGACGAAGGAGGTGATGTCGTCGACACCTTCTTGAATATCATCCACCACGTCGGAGGTGAGGTCCGCGACGAGGTTTTCGAAAGCGCCAGGGATGTTGCCGGCTAGGATCTCGCAGATGAATTGGCCGGCTTGTTGTTTATCGTTTTCGAGTTCGTGGAGGAGGGCTCTGGGAAGGGCGTTGACGAGTCTTTTGACCGTTGGTTTGTCGGAATTAAAGAGGCCTTTGAAAATATCACTATTCTGAGGTTTAGTGGGGTGTTTGTGATGAAATGGGGTTCGGGAGAGGAAGGATATACTTGAACCAGCCGGATGAGGCTGCGCTGATAAGCAAGGGGATAAAGAGCAGAGCCTTGCGCATTTTGAGATGTTTGAGGAGTTATACTGCAAACAATAGCCTGTTCGAAGGCACATCTCACCTTGAATAGTGCTTGCTATAACGGAATTATGCAGACAGTTAAGAGACTTCCTCTTGCAGGAAATCTAGTACAAGGCTGTGGGGCAAAGTTACTCAAGGGAAAACTATTATGAGGGAAGAAAGATATAGAGGCCGGGCGAAACGCCTGTACTAGCAATTGAGTTAGGCACTGGTCGTTGGAAATTTTTTTGCAAGCTTAAATGGAATATAACTGCCCACTGGACGACCTATCATGAGTGTCCACGAAGAGGTTGGGTACACAAGTATCCGTTGTGCTACCAGTTGCTTTACGATTTTGTCCTCCCTTTTAAACCTCAATAATTCGCCACACAATTATATGACATTCAGAAACCAAGAGTTTGTTCGGAATAGCCTCTTAAACTATAAGAATATCAAGTTTGTTTTTATTTTCATAAAGGTTTAGCGATGTAGTCTAGATTGGCAGCATGAGACTTTTAATGTTCCTTTAATTTAAGCGAGACCCGAGCGCTGTGGCAGCCCAACGGACACGGAATGCCGACAGGGCTTTGCAGCTAGGTTGACAGCTAACGAACATGAGCCGACTTAAGCTCCGATTTGGCAAGCCTGTACCTGTTTCGGAAGGAGCCGTGCAGGGTGGCTGAATTGTTGATCCCATGAGGCCACAGCCTGATGCAAATGTTCCCGGAAGAGGCTTAAACTTCGAGGTACTTTAATGCTGAAGTGTCAAATACCATATGAGATAGGGCATGGCCACCTGGATGACCATACTGAAGCCTGGAAGCATCATGGACTTTGAAAGTACTGCGCTAGCATTAAGCTGCCGTCACATTGTGACTGGAGTTGTGTGTCGCACGTAGTGATTGGGCGCCCACATCGATAAGGCTCCCTCGATGTGCAGGAAGTACAAACTTCAGGCAAGCTGTCAGACATGGAATCAAGTGATCTGCTGGAACAGCATCACTCTATTTGACCAGGTCTAAGCAGTGAAATGCAAATGCGGGCGTTCGTCTTCGAGACAATTTGACATATCGTTCTGACCTGTCTTCTCAGCCGCCCCAACTTTGGGATCGAAGACCTGACGCTTCTAGAACTACTGTTTATAGATGAAGATAATGATTATTAACAGATTTGCGAAATATGAGAACGCATCCCCCTTAATCCCCGTAACTTCTTTGAAATAAACCACCTGGCCATACGGCTGAGATGATAGAAAGAAGCAAGTGGTCTGTTAGAACAAAAATTTGCAATGTATACATAAATTCAGAGGGGCGGATAGAAAAGAGTCTAGTTGGAGAAGACATACGACAGAGCAAAGATTTGGGAGGCAGCGCGAGACAATGTTATATTGCGAGAAAAATTTGGTTTAAAAGATTAAAGGATATATTTTTGGAGGGATCTTGTTTAGGCTCCCTAGGAGCTGACTTGGTCCCCCCGAATATAGCCGTTTAGAGTTGAAAACTTTCCCACGGTAGAGTCAAATAGTAAGCTACTAAGCAAATTATAATTAGTTAATAGAAGAGAGACTAGGACTGTGACTAAGTAACCTAAGTAGAGAGTGAGGCAATCGTGAGTAGCGCCTAAGTAGAGCAGCGATAGTGATTAATTATATCAGAAGGAAAGGAGGTAAAGATTCGGCTAAGATTACTTCTTTAGTCAAGGTAGTGGTGTTCTGCCCCCCGGATTCGGGGGGGGGGAGGGGGTTGGGTCACTGTTCTAGTAGGTCGGAAAACCAAATTAAGCGAGAACCATCACGTGCACTAGTCTCCATCGGCATTTCCCTTGCCTCAACTCCGACCCGCCCCAGGACCAATTCATGTGGGAAATTGGCAATTTTCCACGGTGCCACAAGCATGAAATGCGGGAGGGGGAAGCCGCCAAGCCAGAGGACCAGGGGACTACGAAGTACACGTATTACTAACCGCCCGCCTGCCTATCCGTTCAGCTGCGGCAGCGCCCGAGTTTCTGTAACGGAAAATACCGCAAAAATATAGCAAATCAAAAGGTCTTTCCAAATCAAAAAATTGGGAGAAAGTAAAACGACCCCCCCCGGTGTCGATTGGGGGTGTCGATTGGGGCCACACTAACCGAAATCAGCAAGCGGTGGTACGTGCCCGTATACATTACTTTATATATACTAGTGTGTACAAATCAATGTATATTGACACCTATTGCGCGTATCGCATTCTGCTCTAATACGCATGTCGTTGTTATCGTTTCCAGACAGATTTGGTTATAATGCATGTGGCAATGTTTAATTCCTCTTAACCTCTGGCAAAACAGGAAAATATAAAACAATGCCTCGCCGGGTACTAATTAGGGGTATTAATTAGGGGTGTCGATTAGGGGCATTAATTAGGGGTGTCGATTAGGGGTGTCGATTAGGGGTGTCGATTAGGGGTGTCAATGAGGGGTATTGATTAGGGATATCGACCTTAAGAAAGCCTGAAAATTTAGCGATTGAGCATCTGGAACTTATTTGCCTTGTACGCAATAATTGCCTCGCTTATTCTATGCCCCAAAACTAGAGCTCTTATATATAAACTTATACAAGTAATTATTTAGACATTTTTACAACTTTAAAATCTATTAATACTCCTGTTTAATATCCAGGGTGATGGGGGGCTGGTGGGAGAAAGGGGGTTTGCGATTTAAGGTTAAATTGGTTTCTTAGTAATAAACTCGGGAAATGCCAAAGCGCTAAGCCAAAAAAAAAAAAAAAAAAAAAAAGGATTCTGCCATCGACACTCTTAATCGACACCGGGGGGAGGGAGGTGGAGGTCGTTTTACTTTTTCCCAAAAAATTTGACAATATGATTTGCTGATCAAGTTCGCTTAAAAGCACACGGTCCAACGCGGGCGAGCGCTCAGGTTACACAGGCCACACACTCTCCCCCCCGTAAATTAAATGTAACAGTGGGCCCAGATTGGATACTGTGGCTGCCGTTCAGCAAACAGTGCTAGTTACTTCCAAGCCTTTGCCATGGGATCAACAAGCCTTAGCAAGGTAAATAAAGCCACCGTCTTCTCGAAGGACCTCGCGATCGACAGTGCTAGGCGGCTGATCAGGGTTTCAACCGTTCAGAGCACTGATATCAGGGATTGGCCCTACTGTTACATTTATTTAGGGGGGGAAAGAGTACCCGCAGCCAACCTGACGTCAAAAAGGGTGCAGTTCAGACAGCCTTCGAACTTGAAAATAAATATTTGCAAACTTGTACTACCGCGTAGTCTTTGCTACACCACCGCCACCCGTTTGACACCAGTTGTTGACACTTATTCAGACGGGTCCTCGCCGTTTTCGTCTTTCATTCATTATGGCGATGATCTGCCTTCATAAAGTGCGCCCTAGCGTGTACATCAAATTCGCATGCATCCCCCTCCTTCTGTTGCTCTGGATAGCGCGCGTCCAGTGGGGCAACCCGTCCAACCCTCTAGCTATCCACCTTCACAGCCCTCCGACCGAGGTCTCCGGCAATAATAACAATCCGCCGGCTGACGTCTTCGACAATCCCCCCCTTGACTCCGAAGCTGTCAGGTCTTTGTGTACAAAGACAGAATGGAATCCACATCTTGTCTTCACCTGCGCCAATAACGGCGGTGGCATAGGCAACGTGCGGAACTCGATTTTAATATGTGTCAGACATAGCATTGCAGCGGGTGCCGGTCTCGTGATGCCTCAGCTTCTCCTCCGCAAACCCGATGATATAACGGACATTTGGACCAAAGACCGAATTCCCTTTTCCTATATGTTTGACGAGCAACATTTTGTGGATTCTTTGAGGATCTCGTGTCCAGGATTGATATTATATCGTTCTGAAGACGAGATAGGAAAGTTAGCAAACGCGACTAGGCATAACCTGCATGTCGAAGACATCGCATCGAAACCGTTTTTCTTCGCAAGAGCCATGTTGGTTGACAGGCCCGAACTATGGCCGCAAGACTTCTCCAACTGGCTTCAAAAAGAGAAACTCACCTCCACCGCCGAGAAACCGCTCATTGTCGATCTCGTCCGCTCTTATCTCAGCTACCCCGCCTATTCTGACGGCAAAGAGTTTGCGGAGTCCTTCGGGGGCATCCTCAAATTTCGTTCCGACGTCCGCATTCTAGCCACGAAAGTGCTCGTCTCACTCTTGAAAACCTCTGGCACCCCACTGAATATCTCGGCCCGTTTCCAAGAGAATGCTTTCCTCGGTGCCCATCTCCGAACGGAAGCCGATGCCAAGAAATCTTGGGGAAACAGTTACGGCACACAGTTAGATTCTTATGTCAAACAAGCCCTTTCAACCGGCCTTTCACTTATTTACCTCACTTCTGGGGACGTATCCGAAGCCACGAAATTTACCAATGATGTGCAGCCCCACAATCTTAAAGTTGTGACCAAACACGACTTCTTAAGCGGGGGGGATAGAGAGGAATTGCTGGCTTTAACCTGGGATCAGCAGGCATTGGTGGATTACCTCGTGTTGTTGCAATCGTCGAGCTTTGCTGGCTCAGGCACTTCGAGTTTTAGTTGGAACATTGGCCTGTGGAGACATATCTTTGCACGGCAGAGGGAACATTTGAACGGGCCACAGCCATTGAGTGATGAATTGAGTCAAGTTTATGGACTGTATCCAAGACAGTATCCCCAATATGATACTGGTATATGGCCTTAAAGGTTGTTAACAATGGATCGCGGGCTCAATGCTTTGAACGTAGCCGGGTAGTTTTTATTTGTCTCTGTTAGAATGTCAATTTGAGGGTCGGGCAACAAGGCATATAATTGATGCAATTGATGATTATTTTACAAGAGCTCAAAAATCAGAGTTTTGTCTCTAGCGCCGTCCGTCTGCAACCAGCCATTTCCACAGTCTCTATTATGAGTGTGTCAGCCGGACAATAAGAGCATCACAACGTTAGTAAAGAGGACTTCTTTTACGAGAGGGCCTGGAGGCTGGAGGGTCACCCCGGGGCAGCTCTGGTCTTGCTTGGCGTCAACGGTCTCGCAACTAGCCGTTTCTTAGCCCTCCCCAGGCTAATTAGAATTTTGATAGATTCTTGTTGAGGTAAAGTATAGTCTTCCGGTAAGCCGTCGTTTGATTGCCCCGACACTCAAAGTTAGAACTGAAGCCGGGTTGTAAAATCAGATGGGAACCAACTTGCCTCGGGTAAGGCCCGGTCTTAGGCCTTTCCTCAAAATTACTAACAATCCCTACCACGAGTTTGATATATGGGCAATAAATAAGATTCTGATCATCCTGGCATGCGCTTAACGTTTAGTAAGAAGGTCTTGGGCCATGGGTGGGGGCTATAGTCACGTGAGTAAATCAGGGGGAGGAAACTTGGAGTTTGTGATTCATAGTCAGCATGGCGAGATAGAAAGAATTCGGTTAAAGGTACGTTTGAAGTTGCACAACAGCATTGCATATACTATTTGCTCTCGCTTACTCCTTTCTGGGAAGATTTTCTGATCCCTTGTATTTTGCAATTAACTCCATCTCTTCTACTTCGTTTCCGGGCTATCATGAACTCCTAATTCCAAGTAATTTTAACATACTGGAAGAGATGTCAGCAGCCAGTAGAAATCCTTAAGGATGAATTCATACTCTTCAGTCCCAAGTCATCTCCAAAGAAATTCTTCATCACTTCAGCCCCGGATTGTGTCCCTTCGCTCGGACTATAAAGAATAGCCTTCTTCCCAACCACCAACGAAATCATAGGTGGAACCTCAGGAAACTCCATAAACCCCGGCGTGTGGCCAAACTGCGATTCGAGCATCTGTTGGTGGATGTTGAAGGCGGCGTTGTGACCCATTGCCATTGCCGCACCACAGCGCTTAATCCCTGACCAGGCCACGATATCCCCAGCGGCGAAATGGTGCTTGGGATTAGCGACGTCTCCAATAAAATTAAGTCCATGGAGTGTTAGAGAATGTTTCAAGCAGGGGAAGGTGGATTTGGCTTACCTCGAATCAATCTTGGAAGTCCTTCATTATTGAGCGCGGCGACTCGCAGGTAATCTGCCCTTGGAATGCTCTTTGAAATGGCCCATATTACATGGCTAGCCATCGACTGAATACCATCTGACAAGGTAACCTTGTATACAGAGCTGCCTTCAGCGTATTTAACGGCAGTTACGTCCGTGACTCGATTGTTGCGTGTGACTTCCACGCCGGCTTCTTCCAACAGCGAAAGCGTCTGGTCCTTGAAGTCATCTGGCAGTGGCTCAGATGAGAGGAGTTTATCTCTTGACTGAATGAGTTTTAATGTTTTGGTTGGGTGGATCCCTTTCAATTCAGATGCCATTTCGATACCAACAGTACCTAGGTAGAAAATGTTAGCAACTGGAACCACTTGCAGAAACCGTACATACCACCTCCGATCACAACAATAGCTTCAGTTGATCTTCGAATTGATTCGATCTGTTCTCCTGCCTCCGAAAGATACTTTTGCTCCGTAAGAGACGCAGAATAACAGGGAAACACGTCTCAATCCTGAGCTTACTATTAGGTAGTCATAACTCCCTTCAATGTCGCCGCTGACGCTTCTAATCGTAGCCACTTTGCTATAGCAGTCTACATTCGAGACCGTTCCCTGAACGTATTTCTGATTCGGGAACTGCAGTGCTGGGATGCAGTCGAATTTCATCCAAGCCTTCTTGGAATATGGTTCCGACGCAAGTGCGAGTGGTGATCCGATCAAGTGGTCTGGGGAATGCTGAAGTCAGTTGAGTACCTCAGATGGATATGGGTTGGCTCACAGAATCCATCCCTCTTGTCAAAAAGCTTGATCTCAACAGACATCCTCGACTTTATTTACGCCTGCCTCGGGAACAGATCATGTGGATGTATTACCAAGACAAAGATCAAGGGGAGTCACCGCAGCTCCAAGACCAGCATAGGACCCACCAATCACAAGTACCTTCGTGGGACGCGAGCCCCCCCATTCACCACCGTCATCTTGAAAAGAAAATCGGATGCGTTGGAGAAATATCTACGAGAATTGAAACGAACAGAAGATCCCAACAGCTTGTGAGAGTGTGCGGAAAGCTTCCGACGGGGAAAGGAAAGTTCAACATTGCTTGCTAAGCTGGGGCTCAAGGGAGTTTTATTTTCCTCCTCAGGAACAGGCATCGAGAACTCTCGGCTTCACTTGTTTCCGGGGTTCAAAGATGGCACGACTGCGGATTCAATCTAGGGATGGTCATTATGCCGACTTCACAGGACCTTTCCAGGCTGCATCCCAACGAAAACCTTGCCAAGTACAATAGCTTCTTCATAACTAGCCATCGCGCTAATTCTGGGAGTTCTAAGCCTTATTTAGGGCAAGTATACTTTTCCTCTTTTTATATTAAAGCTATATTTATATACATTGCCTTAATATATATTACTTGCTATTTATATTATATTTATATAAATTACTTATATAAGTATTACTATTATATATATTATTTATAAAGGCACGGAATTTATAAAAGACACTATATTTATATATATTAGTTATAAAAATATTATATTTCTAAAAGGTATTATATTTATTATAAATATTAAGTTTAAAACTTAAAAATATAGTTAAATTATTTTTATTTTAAATATTTAATATTAAAAAATAAAAGAGAATTTTAAAGAAATATCGGAATTAAATAATTACAAAATATATATAAGCTTATATATTACTTAAATAAAGTTATAATATATAATTTTAACTTTTTTTTTTTTTTCAATTTTAGCTTTATATATTTTAGCTTAATTTAATTTAATATTAGTAATATTAATATTTAAATAATTCTCGAATCTTAAATACTTTTTATTATTAATAAAACTAATTTAAAAGCTTATATATTAAAAGGAAAAGTTTATTACATTTATAATAAAAGTATTCTTTATAATCTAGACTTTTTTAAATCTTATTATTAGAACTTTTATTTAAAAAAAATATTTTTAGTATTTTTAAATTTATTAAAATTTAAATAAAAGTAATATCTTTTAAATATAAGGCCTAAATATAAAAAAAAAAATTATTATATTAATAATTAATTAATTAATTAATTTTGAAATTTTAAAGTATATGATTCTTTATTTATAATAAATTAATAATAGAGTTTTTTATAAAATAAAAGTTTATTAATTTTATAAAAGATTAATTATTTAAAATTTAAGAAAGTATTAATATTATTATTAAGCTTATTTTAACTTTTATTAATATTATAATACAATTTTTAAAAGTTTATTTATTTATTTTATATAATTTCGGAAAAGTATTATTTTTATATATATAATAAATTAAAACTTAATTTATATATTTAATTAAAAACCTTTATTATATAATATATTTCTTATAATTAATAAAGCAATTATATATTATTTAAAATACTCGAATATATTAAAAAATATTATATTATCTTTCTTTTTCTTCTTTTTTATATAAAGGCTTAGCTTATAATATTAGAATTTTCTTTTTCTTACTTTTATTAATTAAATATTATATATTTATAAAAATAAAAATAAAAAATACTTGAATTTATATATAAAAAATAAAGTAAAAAAAAAGTAAATCTTATTCGAATTTATTTATATAGCTAATATTTTAATAAAAATTTAAAATATATAAGAACTAATAATAATAAGTACTTAAAATTATATATAAAAGCTAAAGTATTAATATAACTAGTATAATTAATTAATATTAGAAATTATTTAAGGTTTTTTAAGCTTAATTTAAATAAAAAACTTAAAAATAAAAAACTTAAAAATAAAAATAACTTAGTTTTATATTTCTGTAATAGGTATATATAATAATATATAGATAAGTATTAGATATTATAGATCTAGTTTCGTATTTTAGATAAAGCTTATAATCGGAATTATATGAATTATATAGAATTATATTTCCTAATTAAGTAAAGGGCTTTATATACTTGGCTAAATACTAGGGAATATATAGAGAGACGCTTCTAGCTTTAAAAAGGGGCATTAATTAGTTATACTTATAAGTATTACTCTATAGCTTACTTATCTTAACTACTTATATATTATCCTGCTATTATATATCTTATATTCTAATTAAATCCAATCTTCGAGAAGCAGTTTATTATAAAGTAATTAAGCTATTTAATAGACAAAATTATTAATAGCTAAAGTATTAACTAGAAGAAGCGCCTCTACTATTACTAGAGTAATCTAGCCGGATATTTAGGGAAGTACCTAATTAGGTACTCTTTATATTACCTAATTAGGAAAAGGAAATAGAACTCAGACGCCCCTAGAACTAGCTAGTAAAATAATAATAATAGAGAAATTAGTAATGGCTTGCTATTATATTATTAAATTAGAAATAGAAATATAATAAAGAGAGGATTTAAAGAAGCTAAAAGCTCAGATCTATTATCTTAAAAATATTCGAATACCCGATATAGAGCCCGTTATACTTCTAGCAGTATCCTTAGTTTAGAGAGCTCTAAAAACCCGAGAACTACTAATTTATAAAAAGAAAAGTATTAAAGAAACCCAGGACTTTTTTTATTAAGTAAAGCTAAAGTAATATAAAAACGGCAGAATTACCTAGGCTATAAATATAATAAAGGTTATATATTATACTTTCTATTTTAAGAATATAGCTAGAAATATCTGAGAATATAGGAAGTAATTAGTAATTATTAATATTATGAATTAGGAGATCTTTATTAAATTTATAAAAAATTCTATTTTGGATTTAGAGAATTATAATAATAATATCTTTACTAAGTTTAAGAATACTAAATAGTAGCTAGACTAGAATATTTAAAGCTTTATATCTTACTTAAATAGCTTATTAGATAACTTAGGATATACGGGTTTATTATAAGAGCAGAATAACTTATTTAGTAGCTTAAGACAGGAGATTCGGGATAAGATTAATTATTAAGGAAATACTTTATAAGAAAAAAAAAAGCTTATTTTTATAGCTATAAGAATTAAGAATTATTTGAACTTATTTACTTAATAGAAATATAATAATAAGCTAACGGGATAATAAAAGAAAGGAAATAGAAGAAAAGTAAAAGAAAATAATAAAAAGAAACGAAAAAAAAAATTTCTATTATAAAATTTATAAAATCAGAATAATAAAGATATAGTAATAGAATCTAATATAGTACTTATATTAGAATCTATAAAACCGAATATAATTTGCTTTATTTATTAAAAGAAAAATTATTATATTATTACCTGTCTAAATTAGAGAAAATTAATTTATTATAATTATAATAAATCTGGTTATAAAATATATAAGTATCTAGAACTAAAGAAACCGGGAAATAGATATATTCTATAATAGTTATATTTATTTATACTATAAAAAATAAAGTTCCTAAAATGAGAATAATAATTAAAGTTATTATTAAAATAAGAAAAAGTAAATATAGGATTAGAATATTAGTTAATTCGAATATAGAAGCTAATTATATAAAGAGGAAGCTAGCTTTAGATATAAATATTCTATTAATATTAAGAGTAATTTCTTTAACTTTACCAGAAAAAAAAAGAATCTATTTATATAAAAATTATATTCTTGGAATTATTATTAAAAATATATTAGAGAACTAAAAAAAAGCTAATATATATTTTATATTATATAATTTTAATCTGAATTATATTAATATAATATTTGGATTTCTATAGCTTTATTAAATTAATTTTCTAATTTCTTTTTAGGAAAGTAATATAGAAATACTAGATTTAATTATAGAAAATTAAAGTTCTAAATATTAGAAAGTTTACTAAAATAATAAAATATAAGGCATATATTTTCTATTAATTACTTATTCTATAATAAATAGCTAAAAAATTATTATTATTATTATAAATAAAATAGCTATATTTTTTTAAGAAATATTGGAATCTTTTTCAAGTATTTTCTATAGAAGCTATAGATATATTACCTAATTATTATATAATAAAGTATTATATAGATCTGAAACCAGGATTCTAACTATTATATAGTTCTATATATACTTTATTAGAAAAAGAGCTTAAAGTTTTTTTAGAAATATTTTAATACTAGCTTAAAAAAGAAATAGATTTATTATTTTACTATAGCAGAACCTCGCTATAGTAATCCTCGCTATAGTAATATCCTTAGTAATACGATACGGCCGTAGGGTCCTGCACTTTTTTAGCCTTAGGCTTATAATATCCTTGGTATTACGATTATCATAAGGTTTTTCGGTCCCAATCCTTAATTTTTGGTAGTATATCGTTCTACTTTAGCCTGAAAATGGATTAATTTATTGATACTCCAGGGCCCTCCGGTATCTCTCAGGCTCGATCTTACCGAATTACAGTCCCTTAATCTTACCTCTGGTTCTCTAGCCCCTAAACAGCCCAAAAAAAGACAAAGAGGCATAACAGAAGCTAATCGCCGAGTGCTATAGAGGCACAAGCAATCCCATCCTAAAACTATATATACTGATCTTATTAAGTGGTTCCAGGACAAGTTCTACTATAAAATCAACCAATCCACTATTTCCTTTAGCCTCAGTACTCAATTCGATTACCTTAATACCAATATACGAAAAGATATAAGCCTTACGGGTCGACGTTCGAGCCAATCTGATTGGCCTGATCTTGAATTAATATTTTTTTAAATAGCAGCAGAAGATATAGTAGTAAAAAGCAATAATTACAGGCAATATTCTCAAGCAAAAGGCATACAAAATCTGGTACCTTCTTCCCTAATACTGCAAGTAACCAGAGCCTAAATAGTCTAATAGATAGTTAACTAACTTCAAGAATTACTTTCATATCAAGGAATATATTTACTATAG